TACTTCTTAATCTTCATCCTATTTTGAAACTACTAAAATGCATCTATTTACTGAAAATAATATAATTAGAAATTATCTTATTCTTATAAATTTTTTTCTCCCCTTATTAAATAATATTCAATATTTATAAATAAAATAAAACAACTAAAATTAGAAGTTAAGAATTACCTATTTTTAGCATTTTAAAATTTTCCATTAAATAAAGAATCTTTTTTTAAATTTTGAATTCTAGAAAAATTTGATTAAATATGCATTAAAAAGGTAAACTTTGTACTCTATTGTTTCTTATATCAAAATTGATGTAAGTATGAGATATTCTAATTCAACCAATCATAAGACAGATTTAATAATTTTAATTATATTATTTTACTTTATATTATTTTAAAAAATAAATTAAGAAAATATAAATGGCAAGAACAAAGTAAACTGCAAGAAAGAGCACAGCTGGTAATAAAAAGCCTACAAAACATTTGGCAACAAAAGCAGCAAGAAAGACTGCCCCAGCAGTTGGAGCAACAGGAGGTTTGAAAAAGCCACACAAATTCAGACCAGGAACTGTTGCACTTAGAGAAATTAGAAAATACTAAAAGTCAACAGAACTCTTAATCAGAAAACTTCCATTCTAAAGATTAGTCAGAGAAATTGCACATGAATTCTAAAAGGAACTCAGATTCTAGAGTTCTGCTGTTTTGGCTCTTTAAGAAGCTGCTGAAGCATATCTTGTTGGATTGTTCGAAGACACTAATTTATGTGCAATTCATGCAAGAAGAGTCACAATTATGTCAAGAGACATCCAATTAGCCAGAAGAATCAGAGGAGAAAGGTTCTGATCAATTAAAATTATATTCAATTAAATTTGATAAACTAGTATTTTTTTAAATAATATTGTGAATAAGGTTTTTCATGACTCTTATTAGTTTATTGTTTTATATAAAAACATTTTCTTTAATTGAACATTTTTTCTTTTTAAAAAACAAATGAAAATTAAAATTAAAAATTTTGATAATATAATTAATGAATATATAAGGTCATTTAATTTTAGAATATATTTACTTTTTCTTTACCACCTTTTAAGTTTGACTTTAAGGTTAAGTTGCTTTTTTAGAAACAGAAGATTATGCCCTTGCTGATTTTCTCTTAGTTTAAGGTGTATCAAGTATTTTTGAATTGCTCAATGGTTAAAGATTCTCTTTTGATGAAGTGTTTAATTTAGAAGATTTTAAAATTGATTTTTATGCAGGTGGAAGTTATTCAAAACTTTAACTAATTGAAGTAGGCATAGGAGGTTTACATTCAGATTTATGTATTGAAGAACGATTTAATTTTTCAACAGATTTTCTATCTGTATCACAATTTTTAGAATCCTTTCTATCAGATCTTTCTGATCGTAATGTTTTTTGCATAGATTGTTATTTACCACTTAATTAATTCATATATTTTTCTTCAATTTTACTTTTTTCAACTTATAATTTTGCATTCCTTTCTTCCAATTAATATATTTATTCACTTAAAACTCTTGTTCTCTCTTCAACAAGATGATGTATATCTTATTATGAACTTTATTATCTGTTCTCTAATAACTAAATATTTTTGTCAATTAATTCTTATTTTTCCTATTGAATTTATATATTTTTATACTTATTCTAGTTATAATACAAGGTTATACAATTTCATATTTTTTTCCTTATATACTTTCTTTAATTCTTCCAATTCTTCATTAAAGGAATTAATCTTATTTTTTAACTAATTATTTTCAACTTCGTAATATTCTTTTTAAGACTTTAATTATTTTGCATGAGCTTATTTTATCAATTCTAATTCATCTGAATTTGCTTGATGTGTCTACTCATTTTTCTCATATTTTTCTAATTTTTCTTTCAATTCTTAATTCTCTATTCTTAATTTTATTATTCTATCCCCTTCACTTGGTTATACAAGAATTGGAGGCTTGCTATCAACAGCAAATTAAATTTCTTTAGGTCCACTTTCATCATGAACAGACGATTTTCTAATTTTTTCTAATGATGTATAAGAATCTCTCTTTGTTTTGAAATGTTTCTCCTCACTCTAACATTCTTATGTAATTTTTTTTCGAAATTATTCAAATTATTCCCAATGATTTGAATTATTATCTAGTGATTAGTCTACACTCATAGCAGTTAATAAATTTCAAATATATGTTAATTAAAAAATTATCATTTGTTTTAAATTAATATAAAATGCTCCTAAAAAATGATTTTTAATAAAAAGTTGAGAGTATAATTTTTGACTTTAAAATTAGAAATGTTTAGTTTCAAATATATATTGAATTTAATCAATCCTATTTTCAAACAATAACTTGTATAAATTTGATATTATTAGCCTATTTGTTTTAAGAATAATAACAATTAGATTTTTAAAATCCAGAAAATATCAATCAATTAGTAAATTTTGAGAAATGGAGACGAGAGGTTCAAAATTATTAGCATTAATCATGATAGGAATAATTGAATTGTGTATTTATAATTATGATTTTGCTAAAGTATAAAGAAATAATATCTTCAACTTGAGAAACGATAAATCAAAAAAACTTAAATCTATTTCAGAATTAGGTTTAACACAATTTTAGGGAACATATATAATTGATTTGTCAACGAATAACTAAAAGAAAAGGATTAATATAATAGTTCTATTTAAGAATTTCTTGAAGTCAGATGATGAATAAATTGAAAAATTTAGAAGATTTTTAGATTAAGTAGATTCAAAAGAAAAAAATACTATAATCTTATTTAATTTGGATTAAAGGTTTTATGATATTCAAAAGTATCGAAACATTTAAAATTAATAGTGTTAATACTAAAAAAATTTTTAAAATAACAAAATTAATAAAAATGTAATGTCAACTGATAATTTGTCTAAATTACTTAAAGAATTTTTCTTCTTAAAATTATTATGATATAAATTGAAATTAAATTAACTGTCATTAAAATATCCTGGTTTTAAAAAAATATTACAAAAAGTTGACATCCTACTTTAAATTAAAATAGTTTTGTAGTAATATTTGCAAGATAAAAATAAGTATCGACTTTTTGTTAAGTCCTCAAAATTGAATGAATCAAATTTTTATGTAACTTTTACAAATCAAATTTAAAAATATTGTGAAGAATAATTATGGTTGTCTTATGGACAATTACAAAAGTAAAATTAATTATCTTCCTTTGAAAAGTGAGTAAATTTAATTAAAAATAAGAATTAATTCAAATTATAAGGAAATTATAGAATTGAAAGATTTAATTTAATATATTTCTATTTCTTAGAGTTAAACTAGATAATCAAAATGTAGTAATTGCGATTCAAGATGTAATAAAAAGGAATCATTCTGAAAAACAAATTGCAATCATTTTATTTCGAATACATCGCTAATATTTATAAATTATAAAGAACTCCTAAATTTATTAGATCTAATATAATAATGAATGAGGCATTGTAAAATATTATTTTAAATAAAAAGTTCAATTAACAAAAGATACATCAGTGACAGAATAAAATAGAAAATAAATTTTGGATTAAATATCTTGCAATAGGTATTGATTGATTATTTAAGATCTTAAATTAATTATTGAAATTATTTCGTGTAAATCTCATTTGATAATTGACTTAAATATTTGAGCTTTTTAATTAATAAGGTTAGTTTAGTATTGAATAGTTATTGGAAATAAAATAAAATTGTACATAGCAACAAATTTTGTGCAATTTTTCTTTTAGATTGCCCAAATGTTAAATGTAATATTTAATTTTGGAAGAAAGTATTGAAATTGTTTTAATTATATAACATTTAGGACTTTATTAAGTTTAAAATTAAAGGTAAAAAAAAATCATAGGATATATCAATAGTAAAATTATAAAATTTGAAAAAAATAAAAGTTCTTTATAATTTATTTGTAAAAAAATTATTGTTTTTTTATAAAAAAAGTTGATACTTTGAATTGGGATGAGTTAATTTGAAATTGAAATTCGATAAATAAAGATATGCAAAAGATATTAAGATGAGTATGTAATAAAAATGTAAGAAATGTTTTAAAGAAATAATGAGCATACAATCATATTTCAAAAAAATATGAAAAATATAATCAGAGCCATTTTTAAGAGTTTACTGTAAATAATCTCAAAGGGTGCTCTATCAGTTAACTTCTGTGTTGTGCATTAGTGGGTTGAAAGTGCATCTGAGAGATCTGGATATTCTGGAAGATCTGATGCAGCTATAATATAAATTGAATATGTTTGATTTGGTTCTAGATTGGATAAATTAAACTTTGTAGGAATTGTTAAATTAGTGACATGAGCATTAGCAGATGGAATTCGTACATTAATATTGTTTAATCCTTTAAAAATTTGAAATGGAGTAGAAACTTCACTTTATGAAGCAACAGCAAAAATATAACCATATGTGCTTAATTATGCTTAAATTTCACAATCATAAAGATATGAATTACTTAAAGTAGAAGATGAAATCGTAGGTATTTCAGCAACAGCTACATTGATTGCAGAGATTGAAACAAATGGTAAGTAAATATTCATTAATCTTTTAAATTAGGGATCAGAGGTTATTCTACTAATTAAATCTTTAGGTTATGGATAAGTATCAGTATCATTAAATGGTATGATATACATTTATAATGTGGTAGAAGCCAAGAGTCTAGTGGGTGTTTAATAAACTATTTTTTATTGAATTTTCCAGGTTGGTAAGCTTAGAATAAAAGCAATGTAGTTCATAATTGTAACAATTTAGGCTTAATTAGCTGAGAAAGGAACAAATAAATTAAATTAGGTAATTTTACTTCTATTTTTAGTTGTGAAATTAAGCATAAATAAATCTGATGTAATTCCTTCTTAATTTTTTAATACAATGTAAAATGCGTAATCAGTTTAAGCATATAAATTAAGTGTAATACTGGATTTAGCCAAAATATTTAAATATCCGTATTAGGATAAGGAGGACATGTAAAGCGGAGGTCCTAAACTTAGTAATTCTGAAATTAAAGGTTTTGTAGTTCTATTTAAACAGTACATATAGTAGACTTCTGATATCTGATTAATTTCAATTTAAATAGTCGCTGAATACTCTTTAATGTTCTCAACAGAAAATTTAGACAATTTTGGTTAGAGATTGGTTGCATCTATATATCTTACAATTTATTAAGATGGTATAGTATATAATGGATTATCATTAGCATAAAAGATGAGACGATCATCTTCAGTTAAAATATCTAATTGAGTTTATCTGATCAATTCAGTATAATTTTAATAAACTCTGAAAGTTTGTGAATTAATTCCTAATTGAAAGACTAATTTGATGGAAGTGCCAGATTATTCGCCAGCTTCTAAGTAGAAAGTATTATCGTTATTTGTGATAGTGATATTTGTAGTATCATATGGAGCATTTTCAGTGGAGATCGTCATTGTAAGAGAATTACCTCCATTAGGAATAGGATACAAAGCAGTGACTTAAAAATTGAGTATTTTGGAAATAACAATTACTTTAGACTTTTTAATAGGTGTATAAATAGGGTTATCCTTTTCTCCATAAGTCTTCCAATAGATATAGTATGTGCCAGTTTGAAGTTTAGAAGGAATTTAAACTCTGAAGGTAGTAGACATTTTTGTATATGAAAATATAATATCTTTAGGTGTGACTGAAAAGTCTCCAGTTTAAGTATGTTTAAAAGTGAGATTTAATGCCATAGGATATTCAACTAAAAATAGCAAATCTGGAGTTTCGGATCCTTGAGGTACAATAATATCTTGATCATTATTTATAAATATCAATGGTCCTGAGTATTTAAATTAGAATTCAAACGGATCAAGATTAGGGTATGATTGTTCTACAACTTATCTATCATCTTTTGATTGCATGACAAATTATTTAATAGCTACTTCTGATAATGGATTTTCAACAAAAACATTTAATGAAAGTGGGCCATTTATTTAATCAGCAAAAGCTTTTAATACATTACTGCCAAATGTGCATTTAGAAAAACTACAAATAGCATTTTGATCAGATATTTCGTATTCTTCTGGGAAATCCATTTATAGATATCCATTGATGGGTATTTTATTGTATAATATCATATCGAAAGTGTATTTAGATTACCATCTTGAATATTGATTGGCCAAATTAATATTAACAAGATATAGCCAACCAGGTGGAGTTAACATTTCCAACACACCTACACTTCCATTATAGTGGGTGTATCTACCACTTTATCTGATACCAACTCTAAATTCACCAGTATTAGAATTCTCTTCTGTGTTTGGATTAATTATATTTTAGATCTCAACTAAAATAGAATTGTAAGATGTTTAGTATTGAGATTCAGGTAATGAAAGAATTCTATTATTAACATTTAGATCTGTTTTGATTGAGTTAACAAATGCTTTGAGATTATCTCCCAATCTCTTATCGTAAGTGTTAGGGAAAGTGATAACAATAGAACCATTTACTGAATCACTTGATTCAGTAGAGATGTTAAAATTGTAATTGGCCCTAACTCCTTAATTTTATGGTTGAAAGGCCATTTAATTTATCACTAATGATTTAGGTTTGCTATAATAAGTGATTGTACGATTAAGTAATGTACTTTCATCAGTGCTATCAATCAAAACTCCATCATAATAGGTTTTTATAATAAATCCATCACTCACAAGGTCTGGAGGATTTCGAACATTATTGATCATAAATTTGATTGTTCCACTTTCATACATTTTGTTCAAGACTATTATAAAAGATGATCCATCTAATAGACAACTTTCAAATGAATCCACCCCTCCTTCGACATCACAATCTGCTAGATTTGGAGGATATGGTAGATCATCGAAATTTGAACTAGGAAATGTTACATGTATTTCAGCCCCAATCAATAAACTATTTTCAGGTTAAAATTCAACGGTGTAAGTGGCAACTTCATTTATATTTAATGGAATTGCAAATAATTATAAGATATTAACAGTTCCTTATGAGAATACATTCGTATAAAAATATGAAACTAATTTATTATATTGAAAAAATACAAAAGTTCTATCTTTGATTAAGCAATCTTTCATCAATATAAATATAAGCTGACCATCCGTCACTTTCATTATCTGGTGGACTTGTTGGAGTCTTAATTCCCAAACAAATAACTTGAAATACAGTTTTGCTACTGATTGCTGATAATTCAATTTCATCTGGATCATATCCATTGCAAGTAGGACTTGGATTGCTTGCCCTTAAAGCAAATTCAGCTGGAAATTATATTCTCATAGTTGCTCCTGAAGGTATATCATTATTAACACTAAATTCGAACTTAAATATCTATCCAGGATATCCTCTACCTGTTTAATACGCAACAATTGTGGCAGAATTAAAATCATTCGCATTTGGAGCTGGAAAATATGTGGCTCCACTTCCTTATACTAAAGCCTTCGATACTTCCATATTCGATGTAAATACAACCCAATGAACATATCCAAATGCTTTTGAAGTTGTTGGCCATCTCAAATTAGACAATGTTATTATACTACTTGTAGATGCAGCTGAAGTCAACGGAATTTCAACCCAATCAATCTTTCTAAACTTATTACATGGCATATCAGTTGTATCAATTGTGCATTTTGTAGTATCTTATAGGAATCCGTTTTCATATCCTGGTAATTAAATTCTAATTACTGAACCTATTGAAACTGCTGCTGGAAATCCTGGTTAAAAAACTAAATTAAACAGTTAATTAACTGCTTATGCTGATGTTGAGAAGCTTGAACTCAATGTTAACTCAGTAACTGGAACTATACTTGTTAGAGGAATTGATGTAGTTGCATAATCATGAATAATTCTATTGCTGAATTAACGAATGCCACTGTAAATACTTAATACTATTGGACTTAATTCAGGATTGCAAATCCCAGTTATTTTGACATTAATTACTGTATTTTCACTTATTTCCTTAAAATTCTTCAATCTAATTTCAGGTAACGTTGTTGCACTACCTTTGTAAATCTCACAATCAATCTAATATTTTTCTAAAGGCACCAAATCAGTCAGACAAAATAAAGTAGATATTCCTAAATCATCATCCCAAGTCAATAAAGGACCGAACTCTATCCATATTTCTCCATGTGGAGCAGGTGCTTCTAATATTGGATATGTTGGAGTAGTAGGTGTCTCACCACCTTCATCTGTAGTACCTTCATCTGGAGTGGTTCCTTCATCTGGTGTAGTACCTTCATCTGGTGTAGTACCTTCGTCTGGTGTAGTTCCTTCGTCTGGTGTAGTTCCTTCGTCTGGTGTAGTTCCTTCATCTACACCTTCATCTTCTATTATTATATAAGGTGGAATCTTAACACTTGGTGTAAACTTAACTTATAATGTAGCATATAAATTCACAGTTGTTGTTGATAACTTAAATATTAAAATATATATTTACTCCTTGACCATGCCAACTAAATTAGGCTCCACTATCCAATTTAGGATTTATGATTACTTAAACACTTCCAGATTCTACACCCACATTTGATGCATCATAAGTATCATATATCAAAAATTAATTTAATGAATTTTGAGGTGTTTTAAGAATTCCATTCATATCAACTATTTTAGTTCCCGAAACTGTGGTTGGGAAGGTCATACTTAAAGTGGAATTAACAATTGAACAAAGCGAAGATGAAATTCCTCCCAAAGAACATTAATTTGTTGTAGGGGAAGTTGTTTAAAATTACCATTACGATCCAAAATCAATAATAATTTTATTAGCTGAATTCTTAATACTATTAATGGTAAATTATAAATTAGTTGGAGAATTAGCATAAGGATTTGAAATGGTTGCTATAACTGGATTATATGAAGTGGATTCTATAATAGTGACAGTTAAATTGGTATCACATTATTCAATAATATTCGATCCATCGTATGTAGTTTAAACAATGAATGATTAACTCTCTCCAGCAATTTAGGGATTGACTACTCTAAATAGTATTTCAATATCGCTATATTATGGTATCTTTTATTGATATAAAATGATATATACTTCTTAAAATTCTTTAATTGTAAATTAATACAAAGTAGATGTAATGATTAATCCATCACTCACAATTCCAGCTGTAACAAATATGTAATCATATCCATTAGCCAATTGAAAATTCAATGGTAATTTAACAATAATACTACCAGCCATTGGTATAGTGTTTCTAATTTTAAAATTTAGTTTATAATCAGAAATAATCGTATTCTTTTTTGAACCTGGAGTTATAGTAATATTAATGAATTGGCCAGGCTAAATGTAAAGTCCTTCAACAGCTGATCTCCAAGCATAAGCCATTTTTGTATTTTTCCTATATGCCACTATCCTAAAATTGTCAGTAGTTTAAGAAAAGGGTGGATTTTTAAAGTTGATTTGAATACCAAATGTAAATAAAGCAGGCACAAAAGCAAAACCAGTTACTATGATTCCATCTTAACATTTTATTTCTCCGCTCAAAATAATTGAATTAAATGGAATCAATTTGCATGTACTTAGATCACTACTCAAAGGACTTGTGATTTATAAATAAAAACCCTAGGGCAAGTCTACAGGTGATTTTATATAAAAATTGTATAATGCCTAATCATTTACTATATTAGTGCTATTATCATCAATTTTAATAATCATGGCATTCAAATCAAGTGCATAATCTGCTATTCCAATAGTTCCAAATATCAAATTTTCATCAAAAACATTCTATCCAAGTTTAGACCTCACAATGAAATTTCCTGTTCCCCCTTTCTTTTCAGGGTTCTTTACATTGTTGATTCTTACAGTAATTGTCTCATTGATTTGTACATCGTTTTCCATATAAAAGCGTACCAGAAATCCACTTATTGAACAAACATGAGAACAAGTATCGTCTAAAACAAGATCTATACCTAAACCAGATAGATATTAAGTCGGAAAGATAATTTATAACTCGCCTCCAATAGGAATGGCTGATTCTGGGATCATCTTGAATGTGTAATCTGCAAATTCGTATCGATTTGATATTGATAAGGTTATTGAATCAGATGTAGGCCATAAGGTACCGCACAGTATGTTTTATAGTTGTAGTAAAATTAAAAGCATATTAAAATAATTTATATGAAATATCTCTCACTTTTGATATTTGAATATCTGAAGACCAAGTTTCAGCATGTAGCCACTAAATAAGTGAAATATAAGTATCATGTAACTAAGTCTTTGTATCACAGCTAGAAATGGAATAGGGAGAGTGCATGAATATCTTGAACAATAAAGGAAATAAGGTTACGACCACTTACTTTAGTTTTTCACTATTAAACCTCTTTTTCAAATAATTTCAGCGTATTGGAGTAGTAATTTATTTTATCTTGATGATTCTTCATTTTTCTGTTTTTGGAACTACTGATGAAGAACTTATTGTTTATGTAGTTCCTTTAACAATGCATTTAGTACTATAAATATCTAAATCTCTTTACTTTGATCATATAAAGAGAAAGGAGGATTAAGTTGTCAATGACAGAAAAGTAACACGTTTTCGCAGACTTAGAAGAGACAAACCAAAATAATTAATGACTCAGTAATAACAACAACAATAATCATCCTTCAAAAAACCTAAAACATCTCTTTATGAGAATTGTTCTTGGTATTAGATTGAATTAGGGGATATCATTTATTTAAAAAGAAATGAAATATGTCCAGCTGATATGTTACTATTAGATGTGTCTGATGAAATACTTCAAGTCTAAACTCAAAATTTTCGAGGTCAAACTATGGATTAAACTAGACAGCCAACTTAATTAACTATGCTAAAAAACGGACGAAATAGATTATAAGGATTTGATTATAAAAAATTGTTGACTGGTAGTATCCAATATAATATATAAGATGATCAAATATTTGGATTCATTAAATTAAAAAAAGATCCGAAAGGAGAATAATTTGAAAACAGAAACATCTTATTTAGAGAAGAATAATTAAAAACATGTTAATATGTGATAGGAGTAGTGTTATAGACTGGGAATAATTGTTTTTGTTATTTAAATATGGAGAAATAAGAAAAGAAATCATTTTTTGTGTAGAAATCTAGTATGTTTTTTGCTTTAACCCTTGGTTTATCTTTGATAATTTCTATATTTAGTTGGTTTTTAGCATCTTTTGCAGCATGTTTACCTTACAATTAAGCTGACTTTGATGGTATAACACTTGCTTTTTATTTGCTTTAATATTTAAAGACAACTCCAATATTTTTTTATAATTGTATTGATTTGATAGAAGTGATTAATGCTCACATCAAATTTACAAAATACAAGGGATAAGAAATGGTAAACATAGATTATTTACAATTGAATCCAGTATCTGTTGGAGACATGGTAATGACTGAATATGTTTGTTTTGATAAAACAGGGACAATAACTACTGGAGAATGCAGAATACATACTATAATTGTGGAAGATACAATGTATAAGTTTAGCTATAACAAAATGAACAAAAATTAATGGAATATTTATAAAGATAATATTCTAAATTAAGTTAAATAAGACCCAAATTTTTAGATGGAGGAAATAGAAGAATCGGATTTGGATGTGCAATCCAAAAAAATAAGACATACAGGAATTTTTAAACTAACAATTTAACATAGAACTTCTAAAAAGATACCTAGTTATGAATCCTGTAGATAAGATCTAGCATCAAGTAAGAGTATTGCGAATCCTATGGATGATGGAGATGGTGAAATTGAGAATATGAGATTAGAAGATTTTGATGACACTCATTATAGAATAACTCCATAACTTTGTACTAACAAGCCAAAACCATTTTTTAATAAAAAAGCATTTGCTACTGCACCAGTTTAAATCAATGCTAGTTAAGGAGGCGTACATTAATTTTAAGAGGATGAAATGCTTATAAAACAGTCATCATATAAGGAAGAGTAAAGATCTTTTGATAATAAATCAATAATGAGTAGAAAGATTATAGAAAATTCACCAAGAGATACAAAGAGACAACAAAGTATTAAAAAATCTATGTAAATGGATAAAGTTCCTGAAGAAGATTTGGAAATTATATTTTCAAGAGAAAATGATTTCTATAAGCATTTAGTTAGTGGATTAAACAAGTTAATATATTAAGAAGCTATTTTATCTCTTCTTCTATGTTAAGAGATAGTTTCTAGATACTCTCCAAGTGAGGATCACTTCATGCATGATTCAACATAATTTACGTTTGATCAAGAGCTTTTGAGATTTGTAAGTTTATTAGACATTAAATTTTTGTGTTGTAATGAGTTCAATGGCAAAATAGTATACATTATAGATTTCTTTGGGGAAGTCCTTGAATTTCAAGTTATGGCCAATTATCATAATGGAACATAATAAGGAGTATTAATACTCTATCCTGATAAATTGTAAGAGAAATTTCTTTTGATTAATGAAAGTGATCCAATGGAAAGTTTATAGTATATTTTCATAATGAGGGAAGAAACCAATTCTTTGCCTATGTATATTGATGTTGACAAAGGAAGCAGAGAATATTGGGATAAAGTATTCTCCAAATTACATATGTGTGGTATGAGATCCGTTATCTATTCAAAAATCTACCTAAAAGAAAATGATGCAAGCCTTTTTATGTCTAGATATTAAGGTGAAGAAGGCATGAAGGCATTCAATGAAATCTCTAAAGATATGTAGATCGTTCAAGTTGTTGGAGTCAAAGAATAGATGAGAAAAGACACTAAACCTTTAATTCACCAAATGAAATAAGCTGATCTGAGCTTATATCTCTTGAGCGGAGATGAAATCAGCAGAGTCTTACCTATTGCATTTAAATCAAAAATTGTTAATTAAAATGACATTCTTCTGTATTTAGATAATGAAAATGCCAGAGTTGTTATGAAAAATCACCTTACTATTATTTCTTAATATTTAAAATTAGATGAATAAACTACATCCAAACCTATGAGAATGAGTACTCTTGACAAATATCATAGGACATTCACTTAAGATGAAAAATAAATAGCTTATCCTGATATCAAATCATTTAGCATTATTTTGAGTGGAGATTATTTTAATGACATTCTCTCAGACAGTTATTTATTATCCCACTTTATGTTCCTGCTATATTTTTGTAATTCTTTGGTTGCTTATAAGTTTGATTCTAAATAGAAGGCCAAAATCATAAATATTATCTAGACATAATTTATCGGCAATAAACGTGTTTTAGCAATTGGTGACTCTTATAATGATATTCATATGTTTTGTTAATCAAATATTGGAGTTCAATATTGCCACTATCCTATTTAAAATTAATCTTATTAAAGAGGCAATACTAAATTAAAATTAAATAGAAAAGTCACTTCTAATAAATTACTAGATAACCCCTTAAATCGAAGATTCATATAAAATGATATGTGGATAATACCCACAGCGGATGTGTGTTTAAAGGATTACTTAAATTTAAGTGCCTTAATGTTTTTTGAGAGCAGAATTTTTGCTGAAGTCTATGATGATTTATTAGTTTTCTCTTTTTATAGATCATTACTTATAATTTATATATTATTTCTCTATTATGCAACCTATTGTAGTTAAAATAATACTATTTTTACAGGTACATGGCTAACTGTTTATTAGAGTATTTTGTTATTTATTCAATAATTAGTAAGTTTAAAATCTAAAATGCAAAGATAATATGATAAAGATTCTATCACTTATATCGATCAATTTAAGAATAATATAAAAATATTCAAAAAGAAGAAAGTTTTATCTTTTATTTTGAAAATTAATGGGAATGCATTGTTAGATGCCGCATTGCTCTACATTTCCTTAAGAATATTGGATGATATTTCTATTGACACGTTTAAATAAATGCTATTACTTCTTTTAATTCTAAGTGATATTGTTAAATTGATTGTCTCAACTAATTACAGCAAATACGCTTGGATTGCTTTTATTAGCACGTATTTTTTATGTTGGCTAATTATGGCAATTTTGACTGCATACTTTGATAATATGGATGGTTTTATAGAATTTTTGATTTTGCCATAAACTTGGATATCACTTTTTTCTTATGGATTTGCACAATATTGTTTTAGTAGTATAATTGAAATGATTTAACCTCTTTTTTGTTAATCATTGATTGACAAATAACAATATGAAGAAGTTTAAAATTATATCACTAAACCTCCAAAAAATAGTGCCAAAAAATATCATAATTTGATAAAGAGATTTGCACAATTAGCAGGAAAGGTATTTAAGAAAAACAAGGATGAAATGGATATTGCTATATAAGATGTAATCTGTGAATTAAAAGTTAATTCTGATAAAATCAATCGGTTTACACTAAGATTTCTAAACAAGGATACCGAAATGAAATTTAAAAGGATGTCAAAATTGAGATGGATAAAATTTGAAAAACTCAAATTAGGTTTATCATTGATTTTTTTGGAAGTCTTTGCTTTAATCATTTACATATTGACCTATTAAACTGATGTTCAAACAAAAACCTACTTCATAATTTATATCCTAAGCATCAGTGGTTAGTCCATGTTGATAATATTGATTTTTTCAAGCATCTATTAGAAAAATTTCTTTTAAATAAATTTAGTCATAGCTAGTATTAGACTATTGACTAAAATGATATCTGATTTTGGATAGGATGGGACTTATGATATATTACTAAGTTAGTCATACATAGTAATAATAATATTTTCTAAATTGCATATTCCATTACTTAACTTTGTAATTGCAACTTTATCAATAATAGGTTTTTTCAGAAAATTTAGTGTTGGCGAAGATTACTATTAAATTATTAATGGTAATTTAATAGTTTTGATAACTTTAATTCTATTTATATCTTTATAATATAAATTGAATATGCTAGAGAAGTAAGATTTTATGATAACGGCCACACTCAATTAAGAGATGACATAAATGACAAATGTTCTATCGATACTTTTACCGAAATTTATAAGAGATAGAATAAATGCAAGTAAGATAAAAATTAAATATTTTAAGAGGGGATGTATGAAATACAAGAAAATTAAGGGGAAGTGTCAATATTATTCTGTGATATATGTGGATTCGATGATTTGATTGCAATAGAAAAGGAGAACATAGTTAATTTATTAGATGATCTATTTAGAGGATTTGATGCATTATGTGTTTCAAATGGAATGCAAAAGATCGAGACTGTTGGAAAGACTTATATGGCAGCAGGAGGATTAAAAGCTGTTGATTAAGGGACCAAATTCATTAATTAAAGTGCAATGAAAAGAGTAATTTAATATGATATATTTAAGGCAGTTTAATTATCTCTTGAAATGATGGAATATTCCAAGAAGTTTAAATTTGGATAAACTGGCAACATTAGAATTAAAATAGGAGTTCATTATGGCCGTGTAATAGCAGGAGTTATAGGACACCATAAACCTTAGTTTTCATTGATTGGGGATACTGTTAATACAACTAGCAGAGTGTGTTCAACAGGGTAAGATGGAGAAATTACTATTTCTAATGAAGCTTATATGGAATTAAATATGCCAGACTTACAATTTAATCAGAGAAAGGTTAATGCTAAGGGTAAAGGAGAACTTATTACATGGTAGATCATCACTTAAATCAAGAGAAACACAGACAAAAAAGAAAGGAAAAAGAAGGGACTGATTCCTAAATTTGATTAAAGCTAATAAGAATAATAATAAACCATGAATAGATTAGATACTGTAACTCCAAAATCTGAAAATCGTTAATTAAAAGTACCACACTAAAAGTCATTTGATGTTTTATCGCGTGATTCCTATTCAAGAATTGATTAATAATAGTCCTAAGAATATAATAATTCTCTAAGTTAAAATTAATTAAAAGATTCTTAATAAAAAGATTTGGTTCCTTTAAGGAAAAAAGGTTAAAGAGGACCCACTCTAATCATGAAACAGTAAGAAAATAAGTCTTCCTTAGCTTTGTAATTATAGCACTCAGGCAGCTAAAATGCTATATAATAAACAAGTAATAGGAATCTTCCTCCTATCATCATATATTAACCTGAAGAAAGTTTGCATTCGAATAATAATTTTAGAGAAGAGTCATTTCATGAAAAAAATCAAACAAACTTACTCCATGATTTATCATAAAAGTTAAGAAGAGATTTATATATAGAAATGATTGACGAAACACCTGATTATGAAATTGAGATTGAAAAGATTTAATTTGACGAAGATGAATAAATTATTAGCGAAACGCTTTAGTTAGAAAAATCAAAATTTTATCTTGATTTCAAAGATAACCAAAAAGATTTGGCCAAAGAATTCATGGAGTAAAAGGAAGGTATAAACATAGTTTTAATATTACTATTGCACTTTGTTTAATATATTTCCAAGACTGTCACTCTGCTTTATATGTAGAGTGAAAAAAATTGGCTTATAGTTTTTGTATTAAGATTTATAGTCTCTATGATCTTGTTAATCTTAACATTACTTTAGAATAAGAAATTAAAACATCGATTTTACAAATATGAGTATTTCCTTACAACTTATATTGCACTTTTAATCAGTATTATTTTTGAATTGATTATATTAACAAAGAAATCTGTAGAATTATAAGCAGCTGAAGGAATTTTATTAATTTGTTTCTTTTCATCAATCCCAAATATTTAGATAAAATTCAAAATTTGCTTTAATTTTTGCTTTTTTTTAGCTTAATTATTGATAGTTTTAATTAAATACAAAGATTTATCGGTAGCTTATTACACAGTTTTCTAAAGTTGTATGACTTTCATAATTTAATACCACCTCTTTTTTTAAGACCTTGGTACTTTCAACAATAAGAGATCTCTGGAAACTAAAAAGATGCAAACTCAAAATTTAGTTAAGTATTTGTTACCATCTCACATATTAAAATAGTTTTTATCAAATACAAATTAGAGAATGGTTTTAGTTGATTAATTTGAAGATGCAACATTATTATTTGCAGATATAGCTGGATTTACTGAATATTCTAGTAAAGTAGAGCCTGAATAAGTTGTAAATATGCTTAGAAATTTATTCACTGAATTTGATAAAAAATGTTTAACTTAAAATGCATATAAATTGTATACAATAGGAGATTGTTATGTTGCTTTTAGTATAGTTGATGTAACCTAAAGAAATCCAGCTTAAGAAGCTAAGAATGTAGTAGAATTAGGTTTTCAAATGATAGAAACAATAAGATAAGTGAGAACGATCATTGGTTTTGATGGATTAGATATGAGGATTGGAATTCATACTGTAAGATTATATTTGATTTGTATAGGGTTGTGTTATTGGAGGAATTTTGGGTACTGAAATAGTTAGATATGATGTTTATGGAGCAGATGTCATGATTTCAAATAAAATGGAATCAAATGGAGAACGTGGTAAAGTCTAAGTATCTGAAGAAACCAAACAATTACTTGAATAAAGCTTTCCTGATGAATTTCTATTTACTTTTAATAAAGAGGTTGAATTTAAATCAATAAATCGAAAAACTAAAGGCTTCTTCATATAGCCAATCAGGAATGACAGTAATGATGAATTTGAAAAACTTATAATTAGTTAAAGAAATTGACTAATTATATAATAGAAGATCATGAAGAATTAATTAAATGTTTATTTTTAAATAATTAATTATCAGTGCCAACAATGTCTATCTCTACTCTATTTAGCCCTCAATAAAACCAAATCTTCTCTACTCAATTCTGCATCCACAGCCTTTTTATCTGTTTTATAACTCCACATTCCACTCTTTTAACGCATCTCAAGTGTCTATTTTTGTTTATGTATTTTCTTAGCCACTCCTGCAAATTTTTCTTCTAATCTATCCTCCAAACTTTTCATTTCTTCAACTGTTGGTTTTTTACGAAATTAATAAGGCTTGAATACTGGAATATCTTAACCAAATGCCTCTCTTATTAATAAAGATTTTTAATTCAACATTGTTAAAATTTCTCTAGATTCCATTTCTAATGTTTATTCATTCCGAACCACTAAGAAATCTCCAGCTTCCAATTGCTTTAAAAATTATGTGTCCTATCCATGCACAGATGTCCCAGATGTAAATATCATCCCTAAACCATCTTATAATGGTTTATCAATCACTACTCTCTTTGCTGGTCCTTTCTCTTGAATCTTTTCTAAAAATTGTTGTTCATCTTAAGCAAGTTCCTCTCGTTCTACTTTATTTCTTATCTTTAATTCATTTTTCTCTTGCTTCTCTCCAAATTATCCTTTGAATTTTAATTTCCCAAGACTCATTTATTATATTATTTATATTAATCATATAACGTAAACAATTTATTGTCAAAATATCTGTAAAGGTACTTTTGGTGCATATTTTGGAGCATAAGTATCATACAACTCCTTTAATCCTTTAATATAAATCTCATGATATTTATCGATTTCCTCCTTTGCTGGATTTTCAATTTTGGGTAATTCTATTCCTTTTCCGCAAACTGTAATCATATCAGTATGAGGTTCCTATTGATATATTCAATATTCTTACTGGTACTGTTAAGAATCTACTCCAATAAATGGTTCCTATCAGCTTAAATTTGTTTAACCAAAGTCTCAAAGATTAAAAACCATTGTATGTATAAAACATATTGTTTTCACCAAACGTAAATACAGGATAGATTGTTGTCCCATACCTCAAAGCATACTTTATAAATCCTTTTCTTTCTTTGATATAAACTCTATTTTCTCCATATTTGGTAAGAGTTGCTTCCTCAAATCCTCCAACCATTATTCCTACATTTGACCCTTTTTTCAACAATTTACTTAGGTTTTCTGGATGTACTCCTTGTAATCCAAATAAAGTCAATAATAGCCCAGAAAATGGAATTGATAGTGCGAATCTTGAACTTAAAACAATCAAATTTTCAAAGAATGTATTTTTAGTGTACAAATTATGAACCATTCCCATACTATATATGCCATGAGGATGAAAACAAAACTAAATTATCACTATTTAGTACCATTGAATTGCTTTTCTTAGGTTTTTCCACTTCAACTATTTCTCTCTTGTCAAACCATTCCATCATTTTGAACCATAATTAGAATTTTATGAATAATTCTGATTTCACATAATTTACTTGCAAGATCATTGTCACAATAAACAGTATTACATTCCAAGCTTCTCTATAAACAATCAATCTGTAGACCATGTAGCCTGCTAAAATCATAAATAAAATCCAGAATTAAAAGAAAAAAGTTCCCACTATCACCCTTAATGATTTAGCCATAATTTAATTAATATTATCATTTTTTTAGGAAGAAAGAGGCTTACTATTTTAAATTATATTATTACGATTTTGAATAATTTAAGACGTATTTTTATAATTATTCTAATATTATTATAAATTATGTGACGAAATTCTTTTAACGAGTTATATTAAATTATATATTTAATTTTCATCATTTCTACTCTTAAATAAATTTCTATTTATTTTTTTATTTTTCTAAATTGGCTTCTAAGTACTATTATATTTTTAATTTCAATTCTTGCTACTCAATCACCATTTCTAATGTTAATGGTGTTCTATCAAAAGGATCGATTTGTTGATTTAAAAGATGCTTTTTAATTGTTAGCCTATCCAGAATCATCTAATTATTTATCTTATTAATACATTTGAATGAGGAAGTTTCACTGGATCTTTCATTAATGAAAAACATAAAGGATCTAAAAACTCCTCTGGTATTTTATCTTAATTTTCATTTATTATTTTTTATTTCTAATCCTCTTCCTCTAATTAATTAATCAAATCTTAAAGTAAACTCTATTTATTTTCACAGTTAATCGTTTTTTTAAGCTTATTTTATGTTTATTTAAATAAATCAATCGAAAAACATCTATCTTATAAATATCAATTTTACCTCTCATCTTTAACTACATCAGATAAAAATTGATAATTTTAGCTTAAATTCATATAAATTTTTATTAAAAACTCAAGGATGAATAATATATCAATGTTTTTTTCTTTTAAAATCTTTGCTTAACACTCTTTTGATTTTTTACCATTGATCTTATCTAAAATATAGTTTAAATGATTTGCTAATTTCTCTCTGATCTCGTCCATTAAAAATATTTCAGGTTAAACAGAAGTCAAAGCCTCCAGTGTTCTTAAATATTCATAGAACTATTGAGATTTAATTAAAAACTCTTTCAAATATTTATGATATTAATGACCTTGTTAAAATTATGCTTATTCTTTAGAAAATTTTCTGATATTTTTAATTGATTTAAAGCATGCTTCTGTTAAAAAAATCAAATCGCTAATAAAATAATTAGAAAAATATAAGTATTTCACTTATTTATTATTAAATCCATTAAACAAACATTTTCCATAATGATCTTTATGTTATTAAAGGAGATACCTCATAACTAAGCAGAATTTAAATCTAAAGTTTAATTTTTATAAGATCTAATTTTCTACTGCCACTTTTTCTGCGTCTATAAAAGATTGAAGAATACCATCAATCAAATAGGTTTGAAGATTTTTAGAATAGAATAAAATATTAACTTATATTGATTAACTCCAATTCTATCGAACTTCCCTTGACAAAATTGAACTTTTTTTCTCATCAATAATCTGAAATAGACTGATACTTCTAAATCTGAGGTGAGGATTAGAAATCAATTTTTTATTCATTGAAATTGCTGCAAATTCCAAACATTTTTATAATTCTAGTGAATGGTTTATTATTTCATCATTATAGGAATAAATTGAAGAGAATATTTAAGTATCAATTAAAAATATTGATGGTAATAATCCATAAGGATATATTGGATTTAGATTTTAATCTATTAAACTTAAAGCTAGTTGATTGGCAAAACTTAAAAATTGCATATTATATTGAATACTTTTAGGATGTAAGACTTATAAATCATAAGAAGCCTTTTATTTTAAGATTTTAATGTCTGCGTAAGCTTAAACAGCTTCTGGAGGTATTTTTTTAAGCTCATATAATATTGTAGAGATGTAACATTGTCCTAAAATAGTAGCTACAACATGTGTCATCCTTTAAGTTAATAAAAATAAGGTTGTAATTGGGTTAGTCACGGTTTTATACTCTTCTTGTTCAATATATGGAGTTAGTTCAGGTGCTAATACATCAACATTTTAATATAAAACTGAAAAGAAAGGATGTTTCTTACAATAACTTAATACATTTAAATCTATTTTCTTTAAAATATTTTAGATTTTTGGTTATGAATTTATAAATTAGTTGAATAGATATGTAAGAATGAATAAAAAATTAAACACTAATCCGGGAGTTGATGATTATTTTAAAAGTTCGACATTCAATTATTTTTCTAAATTTAAGTTCAATTTGATTATTTTTTAAAATAATTCAAACAATTTCAATCTAATTTTTTCGTTTGAATTATAAATAGTTTCAAATAAAACGCATAAATCTTCTATAATTTTAAATATTTTAGTTCTTGTAATATGCATTTGATCTTTTATTTATTTTTTGTCATCTGTAAAATATTTTTACCAAAAATGTCCATCCGTTGGGAAGGTACTTAAAGATAATAAAACTCCAAGTAAGGTTCTTTATTAAAAATGATTACCTGTAATTATTTAATCAAATTTTCCGAAAGCCCAACTATTCAATAATAAATTATTCATAAGTTTTTAATATTATGCCAAATTTTGCATGAGAATTAGTGAATGTTATTATAATTGGGTATTATCGAAAGATAATCGTTTATATAATCTAAGTTCTCTTTTCAACATGAGTTCGATAAATTTAAATGAATCATCTTCACTTGCTGATATTTCCAAATAATCAAATAAATTTTTGAGAGCATTTTCAGCTATATCTAAACTACCTGAACAAAAGAGGGAATTAAAAATTATGTTTGCTCTGTAGTTTTTGATATCATCAAAAATATTAGGATCTTCATCAACATTTTTCCATTCAAATGCATTAGGATATAATGTACAAGTAAGTAGCTAATCTTAAATATGATTCAAGATTTGAAAATACTTGTCTTTTTTGATTTTACCTTCAGCTACTTTCACTAATCCATTTTAAACTTTGAAATCTGAAAGAGAAATTAAAGATTTAATAAGAAATGAAAGTTTTTCCTACTCTGTAAATTAAGAGGAAGTTAAGAATTAATAACATACTTATTCTATTAAAATATCAACTGTTATTTACTAATCTTTGGGTATAAAATCTACTTACTTACCATAAATCTATTAGGTATTAGTAAAGATTTCAAAAATCCTAGTCAACCAAATATTTTCTATATCTTCTGCATTTTATATTTCTTCTTCGTCAATATTGTCTAACTCTTCTTCATATGTATGGTTAGATTCTTAGTTTTCAAGACTTTGATTACTTTATTAATTTTGAGTAGATTTGTGGTTTTACAATTATTTCTCAGAGGAATGTATTTAAGTTGTTTGAGCCTAGCCCATATTATATAATAAATTATTAAATAATTAATATATATAATTTGCATGCATGGCATATTATTTTTCATTTTAATAAATAGGAAATCGATTATTTAAATGAGTATCCTTTTGTTGGATCAATGGATTGTAATTAAATTAGTTTTGATTGTCCAGGTAAAACTTCTAAAACCACTTTTTAAGAAATATCTATTCCTACTCCTTTCAAATTGGCTACTTCAAATTAAATTGTTTCTTCATAAGCTCTAGTTTCCTTATTTTCATAAAAAAAAGCTACTCCTGCTGGGAATTTGACAAGATAAAAGAAAACTTGTATATTCTTGATATTAAAAATATTATACTTTTCCTTGTATGCTTCTTTAAACTTTTTAATCAGGCTTTGAAAGTGCTTATTGAATGATATCTTATTCAGATTTAGCTTCAATAACTTGTGTTTGGCATTTCATAGCATATCCAAAAGAACCTCCCCCTTATTTTGTTACTCTGTATTTAACCATGACAGTCGAAAGAGGCTTACATTAAACTTGAACTTCAGCAGGATTCTAATAAGGAGGGCATATTTCTAAATTTGAAATTTTATCTAAAAAAATAACTTCCTATAATGTTTTTTTGGTAGTTTAATTTTGATACCAATAATAAAGATAACCTGCAACTGTTCCAGAAATTCTTCTAATTCCTGGTTCTATATCTTTAACTTTCTCTTCATCTGTGTCTCTCTCATGTGCTCTTAAAAATCCATCAAAAATTTTATCAATTGTTTGTTTTCCTTGGCCAGGTGGAAACTGCAATTCAGAAAATTACACCGATTTAGAACCATAACAAGAAACTGCTAAATATCGATCATAATTCTATGACCAATCTACTTCAACATATAAAGCATAAAATCCAGGTTAAAATTCTTTTTCAACAACTATATCCCTTTCATTATCAAAAGCAGAGCCTGAATAATGTAATACTTCTTTTGTATTATTATCTAATTATCCAACTATCAATCTAGCTAAAGAATATTAATGGCCTTTTTAGAAAAAGCGCTTTTCTGATTGAGTTAACGAAATAAATGCATGAGCTTTCTCATAAACTCTCATTAATATCACCTTTGTAGTAACAACATCTGATTTTTCAACTTAAAGAGGTACGGCTGTGTATAAATAATCAGGTTTAAATTTGCATACACAAACCTAACTGAATTCAGTAATAAAATCTTTAACACTCATCCAGAATATTCCATCATCTTTTTATTATACTTACAATCTTTATCTTAATTCAGGTGTCCATTTAGCAGAATTATCGCTCCAATCTTTTGTCCATTCTTTTCTACCCCAAGGCTATTCAAATTTATTATATATTTTACATTTCTTATCTTAATGATTCTATCTGGATTTCCATCGCTCCCAGTAACTCTTTATACATCCAAAATTGCATAGCAATGTTAAGATACTATTCCACCTCCATTATCTAATTCAACTCCTTAACTATTTGTTTCTGAAGATGCTGTCAAAATGTATTTTTATTTATCATTTTTCTCAAGGAAATCCCAACATAAATCAGCATCTTTCAAAGTTTCCGCTTTTCTGATAAAATATTCACTTGGTGCTCCAGTTAAATCCTTTAATGCACAACTTGCCAAACCAGATTCTATTTTATGGTAAGATCCATATATTTTAGCATAAGCTTTTTCCAAAAGTAGAACCCAGAGTTCATTCCCATTTGCTTTTGAAAATATTGGTCCTCCTTAAATATGACATGGAATATGATCATCTACTACTATTTCCTGCAATATTCCATTATTACACATAAAAATGCCGTAAAGTCCTAAATGTTTTAAAAGTTATTTTTACCACTTTATTAATAATCTTAATGTCTGAATAATTTTTATATTTATTAAGGTATTTCAGCTAAAGCAGATAATGAACTTAAAAAATAGCAATCTCCAAGTTCTCCTTATTTGATATCCATAGGATCGATTGACTATTGATAATATGAATATTTTTTACATCAAACAATTTTATTTAACCTGGTTGTAAAAATTGTTCAGGTCTTTTCCAAACAATGTCTCTTCCTTTTTTAAAATTAGGATCAGATGAAAGGCTAACACTATTAGGAGGAAATTTTGAATCTTCAAATACATTTTTTTATTTTTTTTGCCTTATTAGAGATAAATATTATACATTTCTTCAAGAGCGTAATCATATTCTGTTTTGGTATTATTGTTATTACTGTGTTAGGGAACGATTCGGTCAGCGACTGTATTTGTTGACTTAGAAAGAGTTTACAGTTGCTCTTGAGGAACAATTGTTGTATCAAAAACGAAAGGTGTATATGTTTCTGGTGCATGCTCATGAGCAGGTACTTAAATGGCTTTTGTGCTTGTGCAAATTCCCATTTGATAAAAATATTATTTAATATATTTTGCAATAAGATATTTATAACTGTCAAAATGCTTTATATATAATTATTTATAAATCATTCATTCTTTATTATGATAATATTGCTTCATTATTTTATTAATAATAATTTAATTTCCAATATTTACCTAAAATTTATAATGAATACATTCATTATTTATAAAAATTACAATATATATTCATGAAGAAAATTCGTTAAATAATTAAAAATATAGCAACATTTTTTTAGAAGCCCCCATAATAATGATTTTGAGAATTTAATTTTTAAAAGGTCATAACAATAAAAGAGGATAATAAAGCTAATGTTTAACTTGAGAAATTAAATTAGAGGTGGGTTTTAAATAAATATTAAAGCTCAATTACAATTATAAATTATAAAATTTACATTAAAAGGTATATAAACAATCCATTAGACATGGCCTATCAGAATTGGTTAAAATTCATAGTAAGAAAACAAATGTTCAGAAAGATATTAATTATGTTGGAGATTTCGAATCTAAAATTATTTAATCACATTAAATTCATGCCTTACAATTAAATAGAAAGCAAATAATTACTATTTCAGTCTAGATAATTTATTAGCAACTTAAAGTGCATATGAAAGAACTTGAATTTAATATGAAGCAATTTAAATCATCTCTATACATCATTCATACATCTGCTCCACAAAACATTAATAAGAGATCACTATCTTACTTATTTTCTAATATAGCCTTTTTGATTTCTTCAAAAGGAATCTCCTCTGTAACATCTTTATCCACAATTTAAAAGATTAATCTCGTGTAATATTCACACAAAATATCTAAAAACTCTCCTTTATCTTGTACATAATGAGATAGACAGAGTTTTGCTAATTTAAATATTTCATCATGTGAAAGCCTTCCATTTCCATCACTGTCAGAAATAGATATGAAGAGATCGATTTTTTCAACTACTGTTTTTGCTTTAATACTCATCATCAGTTTCAAGAATTCTTCCCAATTAAGAAAACCACTGTAATTGTAATCTATTCTATTGAAGATTTGTTAAGCTAAAAATTCATTTTAAAAGAAAATTTAAAATATTCCTCTCCTATATGTTTAATAATCCACTCCATCATTGATATTATAGTATTTATATCTTTGTGATGTTATTTATTATAAAGCACAATAAAGGATATAAGTATTGTGTAATTCATAACGAGAAAAATTTGAAGATGATAATAATTTTGGGATATTTTAAATAAACAATTCTCTATTAATTTTTAATAGTTATTATAAACTAAACTTATGGCTTATTCTTCTTTTAATATTTTTGTGTACAAAATTTTATTAAGTTTTACTCTATTTTTTTTATTCCATATTATTATTCATTTAAAATTATTCATAATTGATTTCTTCTTTTTTTGAAGGCTAATTTAAAAACTTGCTTAATAAAGGCTCTAAAAAAGTTGCAGCTTATTTAATTTTTGATCTCATCTCTTCGTTTTCATTATCAAACTAAATTTAATTAATATCATCAGGTTAATTTTAATTAAAATCAAGTTTTTTTAATTCTTAATCATATAATTACAAAATATCATCAAATAATTCCATTTTATTTGATTCTTAAACTTCAGTTTTATCTATTTGAATATTATTTTTTTCTTATTTCTAATTATAATCATTAATATAAATGAATTAAGTAGGTTTTATCAATTTTTCTAAGGAATTTCTTTAGCTTTACTTTCTTAATGAAACATTTTTTAATTGTGATTTTAATTCTTTGGAATTGTATTATTTATCTTATCCATCATTCAAAGTTCGTATGATATCATCTACTTAAGAATTGCTATTTTTAAATTACTTTTTATTAATTTAAAGAAAATTATATGTCTTGCATTATTATTCTAAAAGATCTAATTATGGATTATCAAAAGGTCTATAAACAGAATTTTGACTATAAATTAAGGTTTTATAAATAGGAGGAATATCTAGATGAGAATTAACAGGAGTTCCATCTTTGAGATAAAAATATAATCTCTTGCTATTGATTTTTTAGACATTCCTCAAACACTTAATAAAGTCATCAAATCTTTCTTTAGGTTAGGTTAAATCTGGAACAAACATAAATTAATATAGAAATCGTTCATCTTCCATAAATAATTAATTACATATAATCATTTATCTTAATCTCTTGATATTTTATAATAAATTTACCCTGACTATTACATAAAAAATTCGCTATCAGAAGATTCTGCCATTCTTCTATTAATTTTAGCTGTAGACATTATACTTCTACCATACATACTAGCTACCATTCTGAATTTTGGTAATTCAACTATTGAATTCTTATGTTCTGAATTAGAGAAATCAATTCTCTATTAATATTTTTATTCTTAAAATTTTGATGTCGTGGTTATGAAAGGCTCTTCTCTTTGTCTAGTTAAATATAATGAGCTAGGTGTTTCTTAAATAGATGGTTCAGTTGTTCTAAAAAATAATTTCTGAACTGAAATTTCATCTGATTGTTATGTTTATTTTCTGTATTATTAATAAGAAGATCTTTAATTTTACAAGAGCAAATCTGAGGTAGTTTTTGTTTAAGGCATTGAAAATTCAACTTGAGATTTGATCATTTTTCTTACAAGAGGCTATTATTAAAAAGAAGCTAACATTAATATAATTTATAACTTATAAAATATTTATCAAAAAAACATCTATGACCCTAAATATCTAATAGTAAAACCAATTATTGTGCATAGTATTTAAAATGATAATAAAACTCTGCATAAATTCTTTTCACTAGTTGGTCCTTTAATAAGCAAAACCAAATTAATTAAAGTCAGATTAGTTTTAATTGGGTATAATAAACCTGTCTTTTCATCATATCTAAATATCATTAAATGATTTGTACCTTGGTAGTCTATGTCTTGGACATGGAATAATTCCAAAAAGTTATGGAAGTGAATATAAGAAATTAATAAGTTGTGGAATACAGAACAACATCAAAGTCTTTGAAAAATGACCTAGAACAGCTGCAACTGCAAATGTCATTCCAGACCAATAACAAAATACATCTCCAACAAATACTTTAGATGGATATCTATTATAATTGTACAAGGCTAATGCTGATAAAATGTATGGAACTATTATCATAAGACTAAATAAATGTTATTATTATGTTGAAATTTCAATGATATTATAGATCGCAATTGATAAAGCAATTATTATTGATTGTCCAACTTCTAATCCATTTACTCCAGCATAAATATTTATTGCATTTGATTAAAAAGTTGAAAGCATAATCATGTACAGATAATATAATGGTCCTAAATCTATTGATTATCCAAGAAATGGTCTAACCATCAAAGGTAAAACTATTTATGTTCCTCCTGTGTATGCAACAATAACAGGTAAACTTGCTATTGGTGGTAGTAATAATTTATATCTCCAAGCCAAATCTAAGACATCATCTGCAAAACCCAAAAAGACAATAAAAGTTATTGCCAACAACCCTGATATATGTGATAATATCAAATCAGGCATATATGCTCTAGTAAATAGTATTCCTAAGATATTAAATATAAGATAGATTGTTGCAGGAACTATTCCTAATGATTCTGGAATTTTTACCTTGCCAGCCTCTGTTCCTAAAAAAATTAATTCAAAATCCTACCTTTTTTATTTATATCATAACCAAAAATATCTGCCTTCACAGTTAATGTTGCAATTTTAGGAATCATCCAATATGATAACACGTATGCAATTACACTTAATCCCATATATCCTAAAAATGCTATGAATTATTATTGATTTAAAGTATTTCTTAATCCATTTAATACAAAACCCAACACACTTACGACTAAAAAAGGAATAAACTTTGTTTCAAACATTCTATTAACTTTTAATTAAAATTATTAATAAAATTCTTTTAAGAAATAAATTACTAGGCTTACGTGTAAATTAGAAAAACTATTATATTTTTATTATAATAAGTTTTATTTTTTTTGAAGATAACATATTAAGATTTAATCAATTTACATATGAATTGTTATTTTTCCTATATACTTTTCAAATTCTAATACTAAGCAATTTAGTACAATTACATTAACATAATTATATATTAGAAATTTATTCACCATTTTCTAATTAAATTCCCTTGTTTATAATTTGGTTTATTAAATAATACTGCCATTTTTTTGAGGTTGATTTGTTTTTTAAATAAATAAATATTACACGAAAAAAAAAATACATTTTAAAATAAAAAAATTTAAATGAAATCTTAAAATAATATGTTTAAAAGCAAAGGTTCTGTTAATTATAGAAATTCTTGATTCTGATTTTTTTATTATTAATTTGTATGTATAAAATTAATAATATCTCATTTTAAATATAATATGAAAACAAATATCAGCGATAATTAACCTAAAGTTAACTCAGTATTTTAAGTAGTTTTGATGAATGTAAATATTTAACTAGGAGCCTTAAATATTGGGTATGTTCTCTCTTATTTAACACTCACAATTGACACCCTTTTTGAAAATTTGTATATTTTTTAATTTAAAAACTTAGAGGCATATCAAATGAAGAAAGAACGAGTTCTTTAAGTTTAATAAATGGAATTTTACCCTTAGGATGTGTATTGGGAGTAATTATTGGATATTTTCTCAAAAAAAAATTTACTAACAAATAATGCATTCATATTGCAGATTTAATCGGATTATCAAGTCTTTTAGCAGTCATAACTAACACAAATGTTATAATTACGTTTCGTTTTTTTCTTGGAGTAGCAAATGGCATTTCTAGTCTAATAATGCCTGTTTATGTGAAATCTCTATGTCCTGAAAAATATTATTACTAAATTAGTATGATTTTAGGATATGGAGTGAATACAGGTTTAGCAATAGGATAATTAATGGGAATTGGATATATTAAGTAGAACTAATTAAATAAAATAGATATCATGGCGAAACCTCTAACTGGTGGAGGATTGTGTTCTTGTTTCCAGCAGTAATATTTATTATTAGATCCACTGTGATTTATTGCTTTTACAATTATGATAGCCCAGAATAATTATTGTAAAAAAATGATATAGAAAAAGCAAAATTTGTAATATTAAATTTTAATCAAAAAGATTCTCAGTAAAATATACTAGAAAGAATATGTAGAAGGCTAATTAGATAGATACAGATAAATAGCATAAAATGAATAGTTGAAAACCTAAAAATCTTTTTTACATATATTCTAAAAAAAGAACTTAATTGGATTACAAGTTGGTGTAATATCTGTAATTATTTATATAAAAATAGATGTTTGTATAAATCTGGTGCGGTTCTTTTGCAGTTTTTTATTATAGTGCTTAGATTTTTGAAGAGTTATCAGGAGGAGAATTAATGTTAAAAACAATTTATACAATATGTATTGGTCTATTTAGCGCAGTAGCTTAATTTACAACAATCCCAATGTTGCCAAAATTAGGCCAAAAGTACATTTTGAGTATTATTACTTATATTAAATAGTTATTGGATCCTTTTTGATGGGGGCTATTAATATTACAATAGCAATTTTATCAAACTTTAAGAGTGATACTGTACTTTTTTTGATTTTCGTCTTTTTGGTGATATTAATTATGGTTTTTGCAGCTACCTTAAGTCCAGTTTGTTGGGTAATTAAAAAATAGTAATTTTAGGGGATTGTGCCTTAATTGAATGATAGTGATGGAACTTTCTTTGCAATGGATTTGAGATGGATATTTTAAGCAATTTTAATATTTTCTTTTCCATATATTGTTTAAGATGTAAATATATCAGGAGCATTTTATATTTTTGGATCTGTAGATTTATTTTATACAATTTATTGTGGGTTTTTTATTCTTGATAGTCGAGGAAAAACAGCTGCTTAAATATTAGAAATGTATTATGATAAGTATTCAAAATTTTTGGTTCTACCTTAAACAGAAAACAATTAATGAAAGTATGTTATGACATCAACTATTATTATTTATTTAATATTTTTTCTTAAGATTTTTTGATTTAAATTATTTTTAGAAAAATTGCAAAGTAAGAATTACTTTTGACCAATTATATTCTGAATAAATTGGTTATATTTTACTTATTTATTTTTATATCAAATTCTTTCTATATAATATTTCAACGTATTTTTTGGATTTATAGCAAATCTTAATTATCATTTTAATTTGATAAATTATAGCTAATTATGTCATCTATAAAATAGGATTCAAACGTTAGATCAAAAATTTCTACCATTTTGATGAATATAAACATAGCTCTTGGATCACTTAATATTGGCTATGTTTTGAGCTATTTGACATTATCAATTGATACACTTTTTGCAAACTTGTATATTAACTTAAAATAAATTAGATAAATAACATAAGAGGAGAGAACTTAAAAACTCAGTTTACTAAACGGCATTCTTCCACTAGGATGTGTAGTTGGTGTCTTTATAGGGTATATTGTAAAACAAAAATTCACAAATAAATAATGTCTTCATATAGCAGATCTTATTGGAATATTAAGTCTCTTGGCAACAATATCAAATTATAAAGTCATAGTCGCTTTTAGGTTTTTCTTAGGTGTATCTAATGGAATTTCCAGTTTGATTATGCCTGTTTATATAAAATCCATATGTCCTTCCTAATATTTTGCCTAAATGAGCATGCTTGTTGGTTATGGCATTAATACTGGTTTAGCTATAGGATAATTGATGGGAATAGGATACATAAAGTACATGATTAATTATATTTCTAAAAATAGCTATCATGGTTCTACGTCGAATTGGTGGAGAGTTGTATTTTTATTTCCTTCAATAATCTGCATTACAAGATCGTTAATAATCCATTTCATTTATAATTATGATAGTCCAGAACAATTGATATAGAGAGGACATTTAGAATAAGCTAAATATGTAATATTTATTATAATTAATAATAGGTAATTTGCTAGATCTATAAATTAGAATATGTCGAAGATCAATTTAATAGATGTACTTAAATAGCTGAACAATAAGTATTATAAAAATAATCATCATTTTTAAAAGTTTTTGAGAAATAGAAATTGATAACACTATAAGTGGGAATTATTTCTGTATAATTTTATAAATTTACATAGATGTTAGTATAGATATGGTGTGGTTCTTTTGCGGTGTTTTATTATAGTGCTCAAATATTTAGTGATTTATCAGATAATGATATTACTCAAAAGACAATATATACAATATGTCTTGGACTATCTGGTTTTATTGCTTAATTCTCTACTATATATATGGTCAATAAAATTGGAAGTAAATACATTTTAAGTAATTAAAAAAGTAAATTAAATAGTGATTGGTTCTTTAATTATTGGATCTTTAAATTTAGCAGTATCTATAATTTCAGAACATGCTAATTAAGGAACTGAGTTTGTAATATTTATTCTATTGCTTTTGTTAATAATGACCTTTGCTTCTACATTAGGGCCTGTAGCTTGGGTATAATTTAAGTAGTATTTTTAATATAGTATTGTGCCTTAGATAAATGATAGTGATGGTACATTTGTATCTACTGAACTTAGATGGAGTTTCTAAACTATTCTAATATTTAGTTTCCCTTTTATGGAAAAAGGAATCAAGATTTTTGGTGCATTTCTAGTGTTTGCCATAATAAATTATCTATATTTTATTTATTGTCATTTTTGTTTGATTGATGGAAGAGGTAAAACCAATGAGCAATTAGTGTCTATGTATCACAATAAATATGGATATTCTGTTGTTCCTTTAGAGAATAAAAATTAAGAGCCAAATATACAAACTGAAACTCCTGTCAATTAGATTAAAAATTTAGTAAATGATCCTCCAGAAAATTAAGATGAAGGGGCAGAAATGGAATTAGAAATGTGATTAAACATCATTATATGAAGATATATCTTATTCTTATGATAAATTAAATAATTAAATATATTTTGTTTATAAAAGAGTTTATGATAATTTTAAATCATTATTTGGAAGATTAATCAAAAATTTTCTTCACTTGTGTATTAAGTTTATTCGATTATTTGATTTCCATTTTACCAAAATGAGATTCTATTTAAATGATTCTTTTTTTATAATATAGCTTAACCATCAAACAATCCTTAGTGAAAATAACCAATATACTTCCTTCCATCAGAAAATTTATGAATTCCAAATCCATTTTTTTTATTTTTTTTATATTGCCCAACATATTCTTCTTTTGGTTATTTCCATGTGAAATTACCAATCCCACTCATCAATCCGTTCTTCCATTCTCCCAAATATGTATTTCCATTTTCGAAATTCATCTAACCATATCCATTAAAAGTTCCATCAACAAATTCTCCAAAATATGTCGAACCATCATTCCATATATATTTACCAACACCACTTCTTTTACCATTTTCATCAATTAGCCCAGTAAAGTTTGCACCACTTGGACAACTCTCAAACACTTCTAATTTTAAATCATAAGTAGGTTATAAGAAAGGAAATACCTCCTCAATTAGTTTCCCCTAAAAAAATACACCTTGCTAAATTAGAAAAATAAATATTTACTTTTATTGTACCATCCTAATAAATTAACGTACCTTTGCCATGAAATTAATCCATTAAAAACTCACCCTAATAATAGCTTAAGGTATTTTTATCAAACTATTTACCAAAGCCACATTTCATATTAAACATTTCATCTCCAAAATAGTAAACATCTCCCTTTTCAATCTCTTTAAATGTGAGAGAATCTTTATCTATTAATTATAGTTTTTCCTTTAATTTCAATATTTCCTATGTCATGGGAGGCTTTCCTTTAATAATAATCATACATATTCATCTGTGATCAATTTTACATCTTCGTTCTTTTTTTATGATTTATCTATTGAGATTGTTTTCTATGATTCATCTTATTAAGTTTATGTAGGCGATTCTTATCCAGAGTTTGTAATAGGATAAACTTTTTTACTTGAAGGCAGTTTGTGTTTTTAAGACATTATCTTGATTAAATAATATTGATTTTTGGTAATAATTCTAGAAATTTAAAATGGGCAGTTTTTAAAATCGAAAATTAAGAATGAATATCTAAGATGACCAGAGATTGATATATTTTTTGGTGAACTAAAATCCTGCTAGTTTATTTCACAATATTTCAATATAATTATCATTAAAATATCTATATTAATATATTTTTTTATGATCTTTATAAATTCTAATTAAGATTTTATTTGATAAAATAAATAAAAATTTGGTAATCCATCTCAATTTAATTAATAATAAGAATGAAATGAATTTATATCAATAAACAAGATATTAAATTAAAGTACAAGATAATTATATAAATTCTCAGAATGGTCTTCTACAATGATTTTTATTTATATACTTTTTTCTTTATATCTCATTATTAATCAAATTAAATTATTCATTTTCAATGAATTAGAAACATTCTTTGTAATCAAAAAGCTAATATAATTACATTTATAATTAAAACTCTTCATAATAATTTTCCTTTAAATGTGCTCTTCTAATAATAAAATTATAAAGCCATGAAAACTAATTAAAAAGCTTCTCTCATGTTTTGAAGTCTTTATTTGCATCAAAACTATTCGAAAAAATTTTAAAATCAGTTAATTTTCTTATATAATTAATTTTCAGAGAAATATTAATGGAATCTATAATATAAACACTTTGAAATATATTGAAATATTTGACGCAATTTAGTAAATGTTTTATTTTCATAATTATAATTGTAGTGATTAGAAGTATTTATTAACGAGATACTTAAGTAAGCATAGTAAAAGTATTAAAATTATATTTATTTAATATTAAATCAAAATAATGATTTCTGTGGGATAAATGAAAAGTTTTTGAAATTTTAAAAATCTTTGAACTCAAATATAGAACATTTTTCTGAATATAAAATAATTAAAGCATAAATACTGATTAATTTAACTTAAGTTGAAAAGCTTATTTCTACTGAGAATTCTAAAATTGAAAAGGATTTCAAGACTAAGGTTCATTAAGTTAGGAATATAATATAATTCAAATACATGTTCATCTAACTTATTAAACTATCATAAATGCCAAATAAGAATAAAGATTTTAAGAACAAACTATTGAAAAATTAAGTATGAACTAATTTATATAAAATATAAATATACCTTAAAGTAAAATTTATTTGATAATTTTGTAACACTTAAATATTCATATTAAGATCGAAATTTGAGATTGCATTTCGAATGTAACTTAAAGTATTAGCTATTTGTAATATAATATACAAGTTTTGTTTAAAAACAAAATATAAATGAAAAGCTAAGCATAATCAGAGCAACCTATTTAAAGAATAATTGTAGAATCTTGATAAGGAGATTAAATAAATTAATTGATGAGTGATTCAATTAATTAAGATCTTTTTCTAAAAGAAAATTATAAATTGTTTATATAGTTAATAGTAACATGAAGATATTACCTAAATGGAAGAAAAATTTAAAGTTTTAATAAACTTGTACAAAGAACTAGAATTAAATAATTCGAAAGCTAAGAAATTTGAAGTGCATTCAGCTGTAAAAAGTTTGATGAATTTTCTATTAGAATAAATCTTATTTAGGAAAGATAGAGTAGTTAATTAGAACAATTTTTTTGTAAATTGAAAAATGTACTTGATTAGAATATTGGAATAAAAGATAATTAATTATCAATTAAGGAATAATTTAATTATGAAATTTAAACCACTTTAGAAATAGATATCTTGATAATAAAAGTATTTGGAGCAATTAAAAGAAAAGTAAATATTTCAAATTTATTAATCATATTCTCAAAAAAACACATAAAGTTCAAACTATTTACCCTTAAAAATATAAAGAAGGAATTTTCGATTATAATAATAATGGAAATATTTTAATTAATGCTTTTATCTGACAAAACTTGCTTTAAAAATATTATATAGGATTTTTGTGAAACACTTTAAGTACCTTCCTTTGATTATGAAAAAGACGTAAATTGAATCAATAATTTAGATTAAAATTAGCACTATTGAGAATTGAACATGGAAAAATAAGATATGAAATTTAATTATCTTACTCCTTATATTTTTCTTTAAGGATTTTCCCATTATAAAAATATAATAGAATCAATTAATAGAATTTTCTGGTTATTTGACCATAAAATTAAGATTAAATATTGAATTTTTATCAGACAGAAAGTTGGCTTATATAAATAATACATTTGCTTTTTTTATGTATTTTTATTAATATAAAATGATCTAATCTTAATTAATTATTTAACTTGGTTATCAATTTAATTTAAAAGTACTCAAAAAAAAATGAGAATTTGAAAAATAAATGAAAGGGATGAATAAAATTGAATACGTTATTTTAGCAATGAAAAACTCAAGAATAAGAAGCTAATTAAAATATTTATGTGATATTAAAATTTATACAAATTTAATTATGTTTAAATTTAGTTAGCTTAAAAAATAACCATAAGTTTATGATTCTTAACTATTATCTAAAATGTAAGCTTAATTCTATTTCAGATGCCCACTATAGTTCAGACATAAATATCTTATAATGGAATAAAAAATAATGGAGGCTAAAAAATTAGAGCATGAAATTTATAAAATGAAAGATGAAGATGAGGGGTGGAAAAAATTAAAGATAAGCTTAGAATTTGCTCCATAGAATACTCTCAATAGTAAATTCATAATCAGTATTAAATTAGAATGAAATTTTAGTCAGACATGCTTTAGCATGGCATAATTATTTTAAAAGAGTAACAGAATTTAAAGATTCATCTATATATCATTATGATTTGATTGATCCTCCTTTACAATATTTAGGGACTAAACAATGTGATAAATTAAAATAAGAAATAAATAAATTAGACTTTGATAAAGTCTATGTGTCACCGTTATTAAGGCATATTATTTGAAAGTAACTATAGAGCAATACAAACAACTCAATTATTATTTTGTGACCATCCTTCAAAATAGAAAATATAATTTATTCTAAGTCCAGAGATTTGTGAGAAAATAAGTACAGTTAATTCAATTTATAAATGGGGCAATTTAACATAATTGTTATAGGATGTATTCTTTTTAATTATAATATTTAGAATGGAAATCCAATACATTTTGATTTTACTTAAATGCCAGAGAATTATGAATTTTGGCAGTTTAATTTATTGTAAAAGAGCTATAACCTAAATGATTGTTTACCAAATCGAGAAGATTAAGAAAAATTTATGGTAGAAGAATTTGTTAGAAAAGGATCAACATTTTAATTAGAATATAGTAGAAATGTTATAAGTAGAGTGTAAGGATTTGTTGATAAAATTAAAGATGATGAATCGTAAAAAAAAATCGGAATCGTTACTCATTTTCAAATTATTAAATCAATATTATAATGTAGTAAATAAAGAATAGATTTTAAATTTGGTAATGGAGCTGTATTTGGACTTAATTTGTGATTTACATGATTATTTAATATTTTTTATAAATATTGAAAACACATGGATTTGTTTCGAAAAGCTGATAAAACTAAAGCTGAAATCGATGTAGATATAGTGTTTAATTAGATTCTGTATAAAGAATAATTCCCTAAATTAGAACCTTTTATTAAAGTGCTCACTTTATAAAGTCATTCTGAATATTTAGAAGTAACTTCATAATCGATTCTAGCTTCTTCGAAGAATTAAAGTGTATGAATTGATGGCATTTAATTTAGTGCCATAAAATGAATAGGACAACTTATACATGTTTTACTCAGGAAGAATGAGATAAGATTTATCAGATATTGAAGATTTGGATGAATTTGCATCAAAGTCTAAATATATAAAGAAAAAAAAACAACAATATTAAGAAGACTTACCAGAAGGTTATTTAATAGATAGATAAAATATGAATAAAATAGTATGTATAATTTTAAATTAGTTCGCAGTTGAAAATTGCACTTTACTTATGTTAACACCTACAGACATTACATCAATGCTTCTTAAACATGAGTTATTAATCAGATAGAAAAGACACTTCTTCTTAAGTACTTTCAAACCTACTAATTTTGATGATAAATAACTATTATGTTAGATTGCAGATTCACTTTAAGTATTTCAATAATACATTAGCTTTTCTATTATGAAGAACAAGCTTGTTTAATGTAATTATATCAAAAATTGGATAACTTGTTTATCATTTTCACAGGAAAAGTGTAAATTTATACTAAAAGAAACATTATTATGGAATGCAACCCTATGGATTTTATCAATGAAGAATGTGCCATGGCTAATTATTCAGCTTAAGTTCTATCTAAAGATGCATAAGTATTTAAAATAGATAAAGTATTACTATAATTGTTTCCAGAATCTGCTAAATTACTTATTGAATAATCAAAAAAAAATAAAAGTTTGTTGAGAAGAAATTTAATGGAAAATCACATTGTTGACCTATAAATTCCAGAAAATTAAACCTTTAAGTTTTAAAGGTAGCATAAATTTAGAAGTATGATTTCTTTAGAAAAATTATTTAAACCAGCTTAACCTCTTTTATAAAAGTCTGAATAAACAACTATGACTGGATTCAATAGGAAAGAATCATAACATAGAAAAAAACTATCTACAGGAAATATTGAGGTTTCTGACAAAGAAGTTGTTCAAGTTCTTCTCAACAAAAACCAATTTACCTCTAATAGGACACTTCATTCTTAAACTTCCGATAAATTTAGTAGAACCTCATCAAATATCTCAAAATTACTTAACTTTAATTGCTAATCTGTTTAACTGACAAAATCCTCAAAATAAGTTTAAAGCTTATGTTTATTACCAGAGATGTCTCAAAAATCAAAAAAAAATTCCTCATTATTATGAATAATTATGATAAATTTTTATATAATCTTTTTCATTATTTCAGGTAAAGTCTTTCGCATTAAATTAATGCTTTTTTATAAGCATTATAAAAAAAACTATTTTAATTTTAATATATTTTATTGGATATTAATTAAGGCTGTTATCTTTTAATATTGTATTATGATAAATCTCTCATAGTGATAAGGATAGAAAAAGAATTATTTATTCATGAAACGCTACTATAAATTTTATAATAAATTTAAGTTTTACTTGAGCTAAGTTCCATAACTTAGTTTAATCCTTACTCTTTTTTTATTTTTGTATTTATAACATTAGTTTAGTTTAGTAAATATTATATTCTATTTTTTTTTTGACTCAATGATTATTTCAGATTAAAATCTTCCTAATATCAATTTAATTTTTTAAAGTGAATATACTAAACAATATGAATAATAATTTGTAATTATAGGTAATCAATTCATTTCTTTGAATTTTTCTAATTCTATCCAAGTAATTTATTTTAGTGTTGTTCTGGAAAAGCTGCTTCATCCAACTTTTACCAAAATTTTTTCTTCATAAATTCTGTTTTATGAACAAATCTATTGAAGGCTGAGTTTTAAACTAAATATTGAGTTAGATGGGGATTCTCTTTAGCATTCAAGAAAATATTCAATTTATTTAAAAAATTTCTCATAAATTATTAATAAAAACTAATAATATCGTAAAATTTTTTATGAATTATAACTCTTAATTTAAAGATGATTTAATCATTTAATTACTTAAAATCTGGGAGCATTTGGAAGAGAGAATTGAAAAATTATTTTTAATTAAAATAATTATGGATAAGAAAATTCAAATGCAGTGTCTAGATTTCTTATAAGAAACCAGTATTTCATTGTTTGTTAGTAAAAAATTCGTAATTTTATATTATTTGATTGTTATTTTATAAAAATTATTTTTCTATTAAAGTATAATTGTAAAATTTATCAATCTTCTTAATTAGACAGAAAGGCACTTAATTAATATAACTTTTATAACAATATAAAATGCTTAATTGTCTTGTATTTAGAATTATTTTTATTAATTTGAGAAATCTGATTTTAATATTTAGTCCAATTATTTAGAATTCATAAATAAATGAATAAATTTTGATAATTAACAATGACAATAATAATTCACTCCTTCTTTGGCTCTTCTGCTTTTACGGCCTTATTATTTTCATAAGCTTTTTCGAATTCAGTTTTAAATCTTTCGACCTCTTCTGGTGAAGTGAATCGAACACATAATTACCATACTTTAGCTTATTCATCAGAGGCATCATAGCAAGTCCATATCCATGATTTGTCTGCTGTCTTTAACTAAGACAATTTGCAAAATCCTTCTTATGCTGTGATAAAATGATTAGCAATTAATTTTCCTGTCTTATCTTATCTCATAAGTAATCTAATTTTATTAGAATTTTTGTTTTTAAGGAATTTCAAGTCTCCAACACCTCTTTCCTAAAGCTTTATAACAATATTACCTTCCATTGAGCATCTGCAAATCTATAAATTTTAGCTCGGAATTTAGCTACTTCTTCATCTTCTTCTTCTCCAGTTTAAACTTCTACTTTATTAAGTGTAGCATCTCCATTTCCAGTTGGAAATACTTCTTATTCTGGGTTATAATCTTCTCCTACTTATTCATCATCATCACCGTGAGGGTCCATTGATTAAATTAAAAAATTATTTAAATTATTTAAAATATTTAAAAATTCAATGTATTTATCACAACCTTTTATTATCATTTCTGATAATTATATATCAAAGAATTTTAGAAAATAAATTTTCAATCATAATTCTCATTAAAAAACATTCACATCCTTTATTAAATTACATCTTTTTTAGTTTTAAAAAGAGAAATACCTGTATTTTTATAATAAATGATAATATATTATAAAATTGAATCAATGATTTCAACCGCAACAATTTTATCTTGGCCTTTATTATTAGACATCTTATTATATTTTTCTAGCTTATAAATTTATTGCAAGCAAATCAATCAATTAATTTATTCCTTCTCCTGTTTTTGTTGATATTTCACAATAGAACAGATTCTTAGCTTTACAAAATTGCTAAACCTTTTCTTATGATATGCATCTGACTTCCTATCCTTCATGAATTAAGTCTAATTTATTTCCTACTATTATTATCACAATTCTATCATCGGCATTGTTATATATATCTTCATTTATCAACTAGAATTACCTTTCAACCAATATTATAAGTTTTCATAAGTATATAAATCTGTAAGATCATAAAACAATAATGCTCCTTATGATTAATGAAAATGACTAAATAGTATAATTAATACTTTGAAGTTAAGGACTTATATTTCTCGGATCCAGCTAAATCATATATTTTATACCTGTATCCCAAATTTTTAAATTAATCATTGAGTCTTTAAAAATAATCTATTTTTATGCAAATTCAACCCCGATTGTTGGTTAAGGTTGTCGCGGAGCAACATTTTTAATTATTCGAATAAAAAAGCTTGTCTTTCCAACTTTACTATCTCCTACCAAAATTACCTTATATGTATATGTTTAATTCATTTTTATAAAATAAATATTAAACTCTTTATACAAAAGTATCAAACAAAATAATTAAAAATATAGATTATATATTTAATTTCCCTAGAAAAGCATAGCACTAAATGTTATAAAAGAGAATATTTCTATATTTCAACTCATTAATTAAAAAATTCTTAATTTTAATATATATTTTCATTATTAGAAAAATTTATAAATATCTTTGAAAATTCATAACATCTGATTTTCTTTATTCTTAATATTATATAATTATTATCACACTGCTTCTTATCGAATCTTAATGTTGGCTGTTTCTTTATTTGATTGACCAGACTTAGTTTAAAATACCATATGAACTTTTAGAATTATTTGTTATTTTATTAAAGAATTAGGATAATCAAGCCTATTTTTTTGACTTCCCCAAATATTAAATTTACTAATCGAAATTTCAGAATGACCAAAAATATTTTTTATTTAGCAATTTAATTTACTAAACACAATTTCGCTCCTCAGTAATGATTCAAAATTTTCTCATTTCCTCTTTTCTTCCAACCATAAATCTCCTTTTTCAATATTCCAATTGGTTTTGTGATTTTTGAAGAAATTCTAAATTTTATCATCAACATTTTATTTTTAAAGACGAACAAGCTTATAAGCTATTCATCGATTCCTTTTACTCATTCAAAAAATTCAAAAAGCTCTATAAAATACTTAAGCAAGCTCTATAAAATGCTTAAGCAAGCTCTTTAAAATGATCTTTATATTGACTAAGTTAGTGCATCAATTTTGTTAAGTCATCTTTTAGGTTACTATAAAATTACAAGTTCTAATTGATATTGTGAAAAAGAACTTAACTGTAGCCAAATGATGATATCTAAATAAAAGGAAAATTATTTTATTCACTGAACACAATTATTGTAAAAATGAATTTAAATATTACATCCATAATGATTTAATCAATAGTCTCTGTAAATAAATTAATTCAACTTCAATAAAAATTGTAGAATAATTGTTATCATCTGATACTTTAATCATTTTATTTTATGAATTTATTTTTCGATTATAATTATATACTTAAATTTTCTTTCTCTCTTATTGATAAATATTCTCCAATAAGAAATTTAAAATATTCTTACCTTAGCTTTGTTTTAGTGAGTCAAAAATTAGAGCAGAATGTTATTCGAAAGAAAAAGAAGTAAATTGGACAACATTGAGTTATTTAAGTTAAGAAATATCAAATAAATCTGGATTTTATGAAGCTTCTAAGCTTTTGAAAAAAAAATTTCGAATAAAATTTTCTGAAATTATACTAATATTCTTAAAATTAAACTGATATTCTTAAAATTAAACTTACTTAAAGGATTATAATAAATATTATTTTTAATTTTTTAATTCTAAATAAAATAAGAAATTATTGATTTATAACAAATAGTTATTCAATTTATACTTTTTTTTCCAATTTCATTTTCTAATGCAAGCTTTTAATTTTATTTTAAATTATCTCTTTAAGAATGAATTGCAAACGAATGTTATTCAATTTTATTATTTGGAAATGAATATTCATCTTTTTTACTATGACTTTGCTATAGAATATTTTAATTCATAAGATTATTGACACTAAAAATTTCTGCTGAAAATTATGGGTCAGTAAACTGCTTTTCTTGATTATTATTTTTAAAAATAAAGTTTTTAGATGATAATTCTAATCCTTTTTTTCTAAACATAAAAAATAAATAATACTTTTTAAATTCTAAAACTTATCGTGCCTATGGTACAAGATATTCTCTCAGTTTTGCAAATCTCTTTTTAATTCTAGATTGCTAAATTTGGTGTGTTTCAAAGAATCTATGTAGGCATGGATGCGATTTGAAAAATGAAGGAAAGTATTTTAATATGAATTCCTTAAAAGTATCAATTTTTTCGTGAAGTTTTTTGAAATATGCAAATAAAATTTATGAAAGCATATTGAGAATGTAAAAGGCATTAAGAAAAGCAATAATTATATAAAAAGGCCATACTATTTCGTAGAATTATTATTATTATGCTGTGTAAATAGAGCTTGCCAAAATAATAGAGACAGCACAAACAACAGTTGATTAAGTATCAATTTTATTTAATTATCCTGTCATATATGGTTTTTATTTAATAGTGATAAAAGTATAGCTAAATAAGACTAAAAATACTAGAGATGCTTTGATAGGAACATGATCATCATAATAAGCCAAAACAATAATAATAATCTCTTTTTATAGTATCTTAAGTGTTTCCCAGAAATAAGCATGCAATTAATATTCATTATACAAATATCCCCAAGTCTTTCTAACATAAGAAAAATCAAGATGATGTTTATTTTTATGGACTCCAAACCATAAAAAGAAAGGAAGAATACAACCAAAAGTGAATAATAAGGGTAAGCAAAATGTTATAATCCATTGAGCATGTTAAATTGTATCATATCTATAAGCTACATTACCTTAGATCCAAAATTAATCAGATATCTATCTGTAAGACAATAATGAAATGATTCCACCAATTAAATTTGGCTACAAATATATGAATAAGTAAATTAGGGAAGTAGAAATAAATGAAAAATTAAATTTAATTTATTTAGTAAATACAGCAATTGCACCTAAAGTAAAAATAATAGTAATGTAAGAAGAAGTCATAATCAAACTCCAAATAATTCTAAAATAGATAATTAAAATATCGGTGATGGTAACTAAGAAGCAATCTAATGAATAAGCAAGTGATTCAATAGGATTACCAGCACTATTGACAATTGATGCCAGTCCTACTGGAACTTATAATTAAAATGTAGATATAGTTGATATGATTTATAGATAATTTGTAAACAATTTGATGAGAATTGCAGTGGATGCTTCTTTTATAGCAACCCTTACTCCAAAAGCCTTTAATCTTAATCCTAATACAAATTCATCTATCATTTCAATCGTGCTACTAACTGACATCAATGTAGAGATCAACGTCCAAAGACTTACGAAAATTATTGTTATGACATTGTATACTATTTAATCACAACTTCCACATGAATATGTTGAACTTACAGAATAAGATCCACTTCCTCTAGAATTATATAAATCACATTATTCACATAAGGCTCCTATGTGTCCTAATATACATGATTCATCTCCTGGTCTCCAACCACCTTTACAATTCTCTACTAAATGATAACAGTATTCAATTGTCTAACTAAAATAATATGCTCGCCAATAATGCTATCTCAGTTCTATCATAGATGATTCCAATGATTTTATTTTGGTATCATCTTTATAACTACAATTCTATGCTTCATATGATACTTAGTATTAATTTTAAAAAGAATTACACAGAACACAACCTCCAGATGTATGATTTAAGAATTCACCTAATTAACAAGGAAATGTTCTAATATCCACTTAGAGTTTATAATTTTTCGTATATTTCTAAATTTGAAAAGGAGGGTTCTATTTGTATTAAGGCACTGAAATACTATTACATTCTATTTATAATCTTAGAACTATATCTGAATTATAGGTTGGATTAAAGTAAATTATTAGATTATCTAAATTATAATCTCCACTTGTTTCATTAAATATGACATCATTATAAGAAAAACTATATTCAATATTCTTTACTTCTCTCTAGGAACTTAAATTAAAAGCTATTGGTTATAAATTACAATAAGATCCTGTTAATCCTTTAATCTATTTCTAAAATTTATCCAAAGCAATAATTCTGAGTGTTAAATTATAAGGAATGAATTTTGAATTGACAGGATCAAAATATCTGTAGTTTCCTATCATGATTCCAGATGGTAATATTAATTGACTCATCTTAGAGGAAGAGCCTAAAATCTTATAAGGAATTATTAGAATTTGTTCAACAATTTCTATATCTGAATTATTTAATTCTATTTTATTTAGTAAAGTTAATCCTGAATCTATAGATAATGTTAACGATCTTGGTTTTTCTAAAACATTAGATCCATACAATGTAGCATTATTATACTTTAACTATAAATCTAACTACTTAGTCAATTGCAATTATTAAGAACTTAAATATATACCTCCTGCAATATCAGCTGTATTTTCTATTATCTTGGAATCTAAAATATATAGTTATTCATCTTCAGATTAATAATAAATAGCACCTCCAATATTGCCAAAATTATTTTAAAAAATGCTACTTATAATTATAGTATTCATCTTAACTATTAAAAGTGATCCACCAAAAGAAGCGGAATTATTTAGGAATAAGCTGTTTTCTATAATCACTTAATATTCCATTTAGTTAATTAGAGTTTAGTAATCATGCTATTGTAAAATTCGATAATTTGAAGGTAAATTTTAAATAATAAAATCATTAATACTCTTAGTAATAAATAAACAACCAGCCCTTCCACATTTGCTATTTTATATAAGAATTTATGAAAATTTGATATTTTCAACATTTAATTATTCAACATCAAAAATTCTAACTAAACCAAATTAGCATTTTTTGCATACAACATTTTAAATTTAAAACTACTCTACTCGTAAGATATGCTTTTAATTGATTTTATTAATTTCAATTAAACTAAAATTAGAAGGTGAATTTTTAAATATCTTCAATTGGTTACAAATTAATTGTATTATATTTTTAGCATCAGATTTGGTCTCTGTAATTTAAGTATTAATTATATTTATTTTCATCGGACATTCTAGTTGAGTGAAAAATTCTGAATTAATTGGCAAACATTCTCTTTTTTCACTTAGTTAAATTTGAAATACTTAGGAGATTTAAATATCGAATATTTATATTTTTCCAAAAGATTCTAAAAATATTAATTAAATTATTACATTATTTTAAATTTAATTGAATTAATGGTGAAAAAGCTATTGAGCAATTAAAGATTTTAATATTAGACATTAATATATTCTATGCTTCTACAATTTTCATTAAGAATTGTATATAAATAGATTAGAAAGTACAATTATAAAAGCTAAAGTTACCAAATTAAACAAAAATTAAAGGGTTTGAGTGAATAATAATGGAAACCTCATCATCTGATATGCTATCTAAATTTGAGTAAAAATTTTCTATTCCCTCTTTTGTTGAATAAAAATCAATATTTTAAAAGTTTATTTGAGATTTAATCGAATCCTTTTTGGAAAGAGTATAAGAGAAAAATTAATTTTACATAGAAAAACAATCTCTCACTAATAATTATTCAAAGACTATTAAATTAGAAGATTCAGATGGAATAATATATATTGCACCACCATCAGATCTACTATAAATAGAATCAAATGTGGTATTTTTAATGTTTAAAGTCAATACAGATGAACTAGCATCTATGTAAAAGCATCCTCCTTTTGAAAAATATAAGGAAGACAAAGTTGTTCTTGTATTGAGAAAAGCTGAATTTATTATATTAATAAAGCTTATTCCCTAGGCAATTATATAAAAACCTCCTCCAAATATAGAAATTGAGGAATTTATCTTTATATTATCAATCATAATTAATTTAGATATTAGCATACCATTCCCACTAGTTGATTTTATCGGGAAAATGAATTAAACATTAATATCTGTTAGATCTTGAGTATTTTTTAATAATATATATCTATTCAAAGATGAATAATTCATAATGTTGTTATTTTAAAATTAAGAATTTTTCAAAATTATCTTTTATGAATCTATATATAAGATTGAATTAGTTGAATTAGTGACCAAGTTTTATAAAAATTAGCAACTTTATATTCTAACTGTACCATATTTAAGTGACAAAAATAATGTAGCTGAAGAAGATTAAGATAAAGCTTAAAAATATTCATTTAAATGGTTGTCATAAAAAACTGTATTTTAAAAAGTTATGAGTCCTTTTTGCTTTGAATCTAAAGAAATTAGTGCTGTATTTTTATTTAAAGTTGCAACAATCAATAAATTTGAAATAAAAAAGGAGTTTTGAATATAAATTGTTTCTTCAACAAATCTCTACATTAAATCATATCCTTAAAAAATAATCAATGGAGTATTAAAACTTAAACAACTTGTAACATTTAAATTATCTATTAAAATATTTTAGTATTAGCCTACATAAAGAAAGAAATACAATTCAACGATAGCTAATTGTTATACACAATCTATTGTTGAATGTAAGACTTTTTAAAAATACCTTTAATCTTAAGTCATTAAAGAGTTTCTGATTTCAAGAGTCTCAGCATAAAGAATTGTCATTTCAGGCAATCCATAACCTCTCTAAATATAAATTTCTTCTAAATTACAAATTTAACATTCAATGTATATCATAACCTAATCAAAAGAAATCTGAGTATTTTACATTTTATTAGTAGAAACACAATTTGACATTTCAAAATTAGTTAAATTAAACATTAATTAATTAATTTCATCATATTTAATAATTTTTAAGATTTATTATTTATTATTATAGCTAGAATTTATTATTTTAAGACTTTTTATTAGGATATTTTAGGATTAATTCAAAGCTGCTTATGATTTCGTATACTCAATATTATTCTGAATTAACATACTTGATTCAATAAGTGTTTAATTTATAATACAATCTTTTAAGTTGATTACATTACTTGAAAAAAATGATGAATTATCTCTAAGTTGAGAATCTTTCAAAACTAATTAAGATACAATAGTTGATTCAACATTATTTAATAAAAATATGTTAGAATTTTTCAAAATCTCAACATTGTTCATATATATTTAACCAAGTTGTAAAGTTCCTATTGTAAAATCTAGTAAACCCTTACATAAAAAGAAATCAGAAGAAATAAATTTAGTATCAGAAATATTAATTTTTTACAATTAACTTTTATAATTTAGGGGATTAGAGATAGCTTAAAATTTAAATAATGTCGAATTTGTAAATTCAGAATTTTTTATTGTGATATTAGTTATATGTAAATAATTTTAAGTGATATTGGATATGGAATTAAAAGTAAAAATATCGGACTAGTACACATAAAGGTTGTTAATTAATAAATTAGATATTTAAAGAGAATAAGGAATATTTGATACTATTTTAAAGAATTATCCAGCTTTTAATGTACTTTTAGTTTCAAATATGCAGTCTATTATTCTAAAAGTCAATTTGTTTTTCAAATTATTCATAGAAATAATTGAGTAATTGGCTTAGGAATTTAGATTTTTGCCAAAATCAAAATTAATGTTTTCAAATGTAATTATTGTATAATTACTAATTGTTATTTATGAAGCAATAGATAATTAGATTGGATTATCTGAATCTATTCTTTTTCCCTTAAATTTAATATCCATTTATTGTAAAGAAAATATTTTTTAAGCTAATGTAGAAAAAATCTCTAGGTTATTGCTAAATTCACAACCTTAATTAAAACCTTGAATAATGGTGAATTCAAATTAAACATGCCTAACTGAAATATCGTTTAAATAATCAAAAAGTTATGGAGTTTCTAGTATATCTAAATAATCGTATTAAAAAAAGCGGAAAAGAGGAATATTTTTGACCATAAAATTTTCATCATTTGATTATAGATATAAATCATAAAAGTCATTACCATCACAATAAAGGTTTTAAAGAATCATAATTTTATTATAACATTTATCAAATTTGTTACAAACTACAATAGTTTAAGTTAAAGAATCATAGTGATATTTTTCTTATGAATTAGTATAGATTGACTTTTCAAAGCATATTCGAGTCTAAAATTTGTTTTAGTCAGTTAAAATAAAGTATGGATTGACTTATTGTATTTCTTAATCACTTCTATCTAAACATGCTTTACAATTAGAAGGACATTAGATACATAATCCATCTTGATTTGAAGATTTAATAAAGCCAGAGATAGTTTCCAAACATTATATGCAAGTAGCTTATCCATCAATAATTTCACATTTATTGCAATTTGAATCACAATCTTTAATGCACTTTTAATGATATAGAATATAACCATAATGACATGAAGTACAAATTAAATTCAAATCAGATTCAGAATTTGTTGATGCATAATTTTCAAATGAATGATCATTATTATGATTTATAAAATGTTTATAATAGGCTTTAATATTCCATTTCCAATAATCTCCATATTATTAATTTTATTGAATGCATGTCTTACAGATTTATCCACATTATGTACATTAACCTGTTAAAACTCCTGCATAAAATCCATCTTCACAGATTATGCAAAATGAATCATTTTCTGTGTAATTGTGAATACATGAGATACAATTTTTTATTCTTGTACAATTAGACACTTAAACAGCATTGTCATCATTTTTACTAATAATACATATTTTTTTAAAATCTTGTACTTATATAATAGCAAATTGACAATCATCAGCTATTTCTTTTAACTCACATTTTTATGTATTTTAATTGTAATGATAATTCTCTTTGCATAAAGCACAGCCCACATTTACTTAACGAATATTTTAATTTATAACTTTAAAATTAATATCTAAGGTGGTTTAAATTATACCTCCATTAAGTATATAATCATAACAGTAAATACAATTTTGAATATTACATTAAATACAATTTTTACCATCAATAGATAGATAATATTATGAAGGTGAACCTTTGCAATAATAACAGAATTGCAATCCATCACATTTCTAACAATTATCCCCACATGAGACACACTTATTATGTAAAATAATAGAATTGCCTTCACAACTATTACATTAATATGAGCCATCATTATATGAATAACATTATTAGCAATCTTCGCATAAAATACATAATCTTTCCTTATTTAGATAATAATTTAAATTGCAAGATTCGCATTAATACTAATTTGAACAATATCTACAACCATCTATGCAAGGTATGCATTAATTGTTTTTAAAATAAAAACCTTCTTTACATACTCCTTAACTAATACAACCTTGACATAATTAAAGTTGTTGGATTTCATCAACCAATTCAAGCATATTAAAGAAAAGATAATCATTTTCATTTCTTTATTAAACTTAAAATAAATATTCTGGATTTGATTAATAAGTTTATGCACTCATTTTACAAGTCAATGTCTATCCAAATTGTTTAGGTGATACAAAACAATCTAAACAATTTATTTTAGTACTTGAGTATAGATCAAAATAATAAGGGCTTAATAAAAAATAATTTAATACCACTAAACACATATGTTTTTGTATTAAAAATAACCGAAACTACATTCAATAAGATCTTAATTACAATTACTATAACCTATCAACTAGCAATCTAGTTCTATCTCTTAAATTTATATAAGAGGGAAAGCTTTTATAACAGATTAACATTCTTAAACACCATCTTTATCAACATATCTTTATTAACAAGCACAAGTTTTTTCTTTTTTTGAAAGTTATCTAAAACTATACTCAGGACATGTTAAACAGTTAGTTTTTGTTGGTCCATCACAACTTAAACAAGAATAATGACATGTAGGTTTATAAACATCAATGTAAGGTTTACATAAAAGTTATAAGTTAATATCACTTACAAATCCTTTTAAATAATTTTATGTATAATCATCTCCTCCTAAAAAAATATAAAATTTAGATCCAGAAAAATGACGAATTGGTTTACTCCATGTCTATATACGAACCTAATTAATTGAAGGGAAATATATTTAAAATTATGGTTATCCATTATTGTTTTATGTTCCTATTTCATATTAAAAATAATGCCATTTTATAAGTAACTCTGAATATTCATCTCCAAATTATTAAATTGTGTCATCTTCATTTGTCTTGTATCTCTTTTTAATAGGAAATTAATATGAATAAGTTGATATTTGAAAACCATTCTCTGAAGGTATAATACTTTAATAATATTTTAAAAAGATATCTCTATCACCAATTTGTAAATCATCACTATAATCTTTATTAATAGTTATTCTAAAAATAACAGTCTCTAAATAATTCTCCATTGATTGACTTAGCACTATCCAACCTTTAATTACATATCTAAATGATTCAAATTCTTAAGTATTAACTTTTATATAATTATCTCCATTCATTTCTTAATTATTTGTACTTATTTCGTAACTCCAATTATAGCATGTTACATAGGATAAAAAGTCTTAAGAACATGATTATAAATCTAAAAACACATTATCCTGCTTGGCCGAAAAAATACTGGAAAGACGTCCTTTAAATTAACTCAATATTATCAATTTTCCTTCCTAATCTTTGTACTAATAAACATTTCCAACATTATGTTTTATTTTATCTAAAAATTGAGGTAGATCATTTACTATCTAAAGTGGCAAAACTTATTAAGAATTATAAAATCCAAATATTGTTTATCCTAATGTTATCTCAAAATAACAATAAAACATTATCCATTAGTTTTCATATAAATAATTGTCAAATTCAAATAATAATGTATTTATTTAAGTCTTAAACGAGTAAAATACCTTGTGACTTATTTTTTATTAATTTTAATCAATATCAACAGAAACTACAATTATTTTAAACTTTTCATTGCTTTGATCTATTGAGTATATAAATTAACCTCCATTTATAACAATTTATTCATTTAATATACTGAAATCTTCAGATGCTCTATTTGCTAAAAGTGATAATAAATCATTATACATAGCTCTCTTATTTCTGCTAATGGCATATATTTCATCCAAACTCCAAATCCTACATTCATTTCTCCTAATATTAATTCTTTAGGTAAAGTTTAATCAATTGAAAATTTATTACTGTTTGTCCCTAAAATCGGCCTCATGGTTGAAAATTAACAATAATTCTAAACTTATCTATGATATAATTCTATTTACTTACTTAAAAAACAAAACGAAGAGCATTGATACATAAAAATTAACAAACATTAAATTATGCTAAATAAAATGATTATGTATTTAATTAAGAAAAATAAGAAATTTCTTTGAGTTCAATGAAATAATCAAATTTTAATAAATAAAGCAAGTTTGCAATTTCTCTTAACAAACATTACATATGAAATAATTGGTAAATAAAATTCTATTTTTATTGATTTTTAAATAGGGAATGATAAATTATCAATTAAACAATAAGAATTCAATATTTTTATTTAAAAAAACCAACAAAATAATTTTGAACTAGAAATCATTGGGAAATCTAAAACGAACTTCATAAAACTATTTGCCATTCAAATTTCTTTATTATCTTATGTTACATAAATTAAACTAAAATATTAAAAATAACTTTTTAAAAAATTAGTTTGCTTGATGAAAAATCCTCTTAATATATAAAATTGTTCACAATAAATTTGGCAAATAATATCAAATTGTTTTTCTTAAAGTTTCTAAATCGATTTTTCGCCTTTGTTATGTTTAAGTATTTTTAATTATGCTGCAATTGTCTTTGAAAACGATTATAAAATTAAAAATTACCATGTATTTATGCATTTCAAAATGAGTGAAAAAAAATTAATGAAAAAAATTATATTTCATATTTACATAAAGAATGAAATTTTCTTTTCTTTTTTTCAGGATATCTAAAATTCTTTCATTGTTGACAGATATTTACAAAAATTTTAAATTATTTATTTTAGATCAAATAAGAGTGGAAATAAAAAAATTTCTTATAACTCTATAACTTATATCATTTTTTATCTAATGGAAATTTGGAAAAATGAAATATTTATAATTTATAAAATAAAAATAAGAGCTTATTGACAAAAACAAAATTTGAAAAGAAAAAATGAGAGACATATAGTTATTTTGTAGACCTCTTTAACATTAATATATAAAATTATATTCTTGATTTCATATATTATAATTCCATTTTAGGCTTTTAAATAAAAAAATTAGTTTAGATTAGAGACTTATTCATTTTTATATAATTAAAAATAGATTATTCTCTTTTAACCCAAATAATTTTACTTAATTCATAATAAAAGTTTTTTTTTTCTGATGTAATTAATATTGTTTATAAAAATTCTGAAAATTTCATAAATATGAGACTAAAAAGATTGAATAAATGAAAATTGAATTATAAAATTACTCATTTACTATATTATTTATGTAAAAATGAAATTGTTTTAACATATAAAAAAAGAATTATAATTTTACATTTTACAATATATAAATAACAATATCATAGTATGAAACATTTTATATATATCTATTTTCATTTCTTAAAAAGACAATATTATTTTTTAAAAAATAATTTAGGTTATTTGATTGTGAATCAAATAAATTTTTTAACTTAAATTTAGATTAAATTTGGATGTTTTTTTAATTCATCTAAATATGACTCAGCTCAAATAACTTTAAAAATATGTCAGTTTTTAAACTGCAATTCATCTTTTTTAAAGAAAAATTTGATTCAAAAAGCTAGTCTTATCTTGTATTATTCAAATTACTTGGCGATAGTATTTTTAATTAGTGCGTATTATAAAAAAGAAAATTCAAATTTATTATCCTATGTATATGAGCTTAAAAGGAATTGATTAATTTACAACTTGATATTATTATTCAAAAAAATATGTGTAATACTTTAAGACAACCTACAATAACCAAAATAAAAGATGATTGGATTGCTTAATTTATAAAATAAAAAAATCTAATTAATGGTCTAATCTAAGAACACCTAAATGAAATACAAAATAAGAGGGCATATATGATCAATTTTAAAATAAATATTTTTTTAAGGGGAGGAGGATGCGGAAATACTAAGATTCCTTAAGTGAAATTAGGAAAACTTTAAGACTAATTTCCACCAAATTTTGCTATGAATTTAAAATTATTCACGGATACAATATCTGAAAAATCATTCCTGTTTTAGGATAAATTACATTAGGATGAAGTGCTTTCTGCATTTTAATGGTTTTACAATAATAAAGAATATTTTTAAATTATCTGTAATGATGATTCAATAAATTCAAAATTTTATCATCTAATAGAAAAAAGTGCAGAGATATTGTTAAAATCACTTATAGTTTACATTAAATTATCTGGGTTTTTATTTCATTAATTGCTTGAAATTTGTAATGATCTTTTTAGAGTGATTTTTTCATATTAATTAAAAAATGAAGAGAGATATATGCAAGAAAGTTTAAAATAAAGTTTACTTGAAATTATAACAGAAATAGAAAGCTAAATGAGTGTTGAATCAATGAATATTTAAAAAAGTGGAGTTGAATAAGAAATTTAGCTTATTAAAACATGTTTAGCACATTGTCGAACTAATTCCGAATAAGAAAAAGAAATAGTAATTTCAATATTATGTGGTGCAGCAAGTTCTATTTCAGAATTAAAGCCTAGTGAAGAATTAATAAATTCTCTAATTGAAGCAGGTAAATTTTTACTTCTTAATTTTTATGATAAATAAATCTAACATCCTTTGTAAAAATATGAAATTTATTATTTTTTTGAGAATCTTAAATGGTCAATTATACATTAATTGAAATTAGGATTTTCTGTTTAGAAAACAATTAATCCGTTAATAGAAGGATATAATTTATATATTAAATAATCTTAAGATTGGATGATACATGCTTGTTGGATCAAATTCATATCTGATTTAATGGCATATCGACCTGTGATAAATAAGATATAAATATACTAAACCTATAAATCTGAATAAATAATATGGAATTAATTAATACTTACAAATTAAATTATTTAACTACCATATGATAAATCCTCTGGAAAACTCTAAATTTTTGGGAAGAAAAATTCTTTATTATTGAAATAATTTAAATAATTAATACTATTTTAGGAGTATTTACTTGATATATAGGAACAATTTTATTTATTTCCTGCTTATTCACACTTTTAATTTGACAATTAATTATAAGGATAGGTTGATAATGATGAATTTCTTATTAAATTATTACTTAGTGAGTCTACTTTAGAAACAATATCTATATTAAACAATTTTCTAAAAACATCCTCTGAAGAATTAACAAATCATTTTGATTCTATTAATTAATAATATTGTTAAACGAATAAATTTATTTATTCAAGTAAAGTAAATGATAGAATTTAAAGAGATGATATTTCATATATGATAAAATAAATTAAAATACATCAGAAATCTTTATTCTTTAATTTATATGAATTAAATATTCTCGTTAATCAAGATAGAGAGTACACTATTACAACATTAAATATTTTGAAATAAAATCAATAATTTTTTAAAGAAAATACATTAAAATCATAAATAATTTTATTATAGAAGATTAATTAATTAGAAGAATAATATACAAAGAACTATCAAGTTAATGTAGAAAAATTTCCATCATTTTTTATTTAGATCTTTCATTAATTGTCATTATATCAAGTGGATTCTTTTTTTACTGTTGATTTATAAAATATAAACTTTAAAGAGATTCATTTTGATTAGAAATAATTTATTGAAACAGTTCAGAATCTTAATAAATTTTTAGAAAAATACATAAGTGATTCAAAATCTATAAAGCAATAATTTTCAAAGATTTGCATATCAAAGGAAATAAAAAATTATTTTGATCAAAAAATATCATTAAAAGACTAATCTCAAACTTTAATTAATATTTATAATTTGAATATGATTTAGAAATTAGCAAGAGAATTCTATGATTAATATTCAAAGTTCGAGAGCCAGTAAAATATAACAAATAATACATAAGTTGATCTTAGGCTAAATTTACTTTGGTGTAATTAGATTATAAAAGTTTTATAAATTTTCAAAATGCTTTTTGAACTTCAATAAAAGAAAATTTTATCTCTCAAAAAACAAAGTCAAGATGGAATTTCAAAGGAGATTTGTTAAGATTTAAAAGAATCTTTTAATTATAATAATATTAAAAGCTTTTTGGAAAATCTAATTGCTGAGAAAAAGGCTCTTTTTCTTAATTTACTTAATGAAAATAAGGAGATTGGATATCAAGTAATAGAATTAAATAATTTATAAGAAATAAGTTTATCAATAAATGAAGGTATTGATGCAATTTAATAATAAAATTGGCCTGATGATTTTAAATAAATTTAAATCCTGGTGTTTTAAGAAGTGAAAAATAAAATCCAAATCTTGGAATTATTAAAAAAGAATTAAAAATAACTCATTCTTGAAATCCTTTAACTTTTTGATAGATAAAAAGAGTCATTAAGTTAAGAAAAATAATTAGATCAATCTTAGATCTAATTGATGAGTAAAACAAATGAAAAGATTTAATCATAAAATTAGACCATTTTTGATTTGTTAATTTCCCAAAATTTATTTAATTGGGAAGAACAAAATTAATAAATACAAGATTTATTATAAAGTGTAAAAAAAATTTAGACGATCATCAAATAAAAAAATTCAAACTTTTAATAAACTTAAGTGTAATTTAGCAAAGCTATTTATGAAATTATTGGAGATTCATTTAATAAAAACTTTATAGAGATTTATTCAGATATGAGCACAGAATTGAATAATTTTCTTATAAAGATTTGTGAATAAAAGTAAACTATTTTTAATGATAGCTTTTAATCTTAATTGTCAGAAAAACCATATTTTACCCAAATGCTCACATTATAGATAATTTTTTAAGACTCTTAGTCATTCTTATAATAAAACTTAATATCTAATCAAGAATAATCTAAAGAAAAAGCTTACACATTCATGTTAGAGGAATTAAAAAAAGAAAATTGTAAAGAATAAGGAAATGACCTTGCAGCAATTTTTGAAGAATCTTCATACAAAGTTCGAGAGGCAGTAGTTTTTAATTTAATTAAATTATAATCAATAATTTAAGAATTTGCAATATAGGATTTTTGTTAAAATATATTGAAATAAATATGGATGATTGAAAAGCATACAAGTGTGAGAAATATATTAAAGAATAAAGAAATGATTGAAATGTAAAAATAATTATTTTCTAAAGACTTGTCAAATTTTACAAATAAATTAAAAATAGAAATGTAGAATAAGTTAAAAAAATTGGAATAGTTAGAAACCTAAGTTCTTATAAGTGAAAATAAAGTAGAATTAAAAAATTAACTTTAATAAGCTTATGAAGATTTTGAAACATATTTAGACAATGTTTCAGATATGTCATAGAAAATGGATATTAGTTTGATCTTCTTAAGAGAAATAAGGAAAGATTTGAAATCAATAAAAAGTTCGATAGATTAGATTCTTTTAAGTATGAAAGGTATAGAAGATGATTTAAGAAGATTAAGTGGAAAAGATTTTAGAGAATTATTATAGATAAGAAAGGATAAGATTTTGAAATAAAAATAGGAAGCTGAATTGGATTAAGTTCATATTTAATTTAACACCTAGGAATTTGATCCTTTAACAGGGAAGAAAAAAGATAATGGATTTGGAAATTTATAATCGCATTTAATTTCAAAATAGTACAACAATTATGAAGGTGAAGTAAATGAATTCTTATGGAGTGATGGAGAACAATATAAAGATGTTATGTTATTAAAAGGTAAAGCAGGTTCTGGTAAGAGTAGAGCATCTAGAAATATAGAAGAGTTTTTATGGATTAATGAATTAACAACTCCTTAATGGATTCCTATCTTTGTTTCACTACCATCTTTAAAGAATCCAAAACATAATCTAATTGAATAAGCTTTAGAATCTTAAAATTATAATTTTGATAAAATTTAAATTAGAGAATTTAAAGAAGCTATTATAAATGGAAATCTAAAAGTAGTTTTTATTTTAGAAAGTTATGATGAAATGTAAATTGAATTAATTTAGACTAATTTGTATTAAACTAATAGATTTTCAAATGACTTAAATCTTTAAATATCAGGTTAAAATGTGAAATTTATAATAACAACAAGAGAAGAGATTTTAACAACAATTGGATATTAAACATGGTTTTATGGTAAGAATCTTGAAACATTAAAAGAGGTTGAGTTATTACCATTTAATTATGATCAAAGCTCTGAATATATAAAATAATATTCTGAAGTAAGTGTGAAAAGAACAGTTAAAAAGTATTATGAATTTCTTAAGTAATTAAAATCTCAAAATTTTTCTCTTAATGAATTTAAGTTTATTTGGAATTCTTTAGATGATTGTATAAACATAATTATAAATTAAAAATAAGATCAAGATATGTTATTTTAATCATAAGATGTAGATAAAATAATTTAAAAGCTTCTAACTATAGAGTTCTTTAATTATATTAGAGCAGATTAAATGATTTAGTTAAGAAAAGAACTTCTATAATTATGGAGTTAATAGAAATTCTCTTAAGTAATTAATAATGTTAGTATTAATCATTTAATGAGTACTCCATTTATGATGGAAATAATTGTTTATGTATTGCCAAAGATGTCGTCTACATTTTCAGAATCTAATTTTTTAAGAGAAACTTTAAAATAAAAATATTTTTAACTAAAAAAAGAATCTTTTAAACAAGATTTATTAATTGAAAAATATCAAAGCAAAAGAAACATTGTGGAAGCTACAGATGTTTAATTGGATCAAGATGAATTAAGTTAGAAAATTGATAAAAAGTTATTAGAACACTTTTTTTAATTGATAGAAGAATTAGAAAGTTAAAACTTTTTTGAAAACTATTCAATTTCTTATCCAATTGATTTTTTGGATAATAATAGAATAATGTTAGGGAAAGTGTACAATGTAACAAATGATGCAAATTTTATAGTGTCAGCATTCAAATTAAATTAATTAACTGCATATGATTTTTATGAAACATTTTCATAATTTTATCATATGTAATAACTTTAAAAATGGAAAGAATTAGGGAAAACTTTCAATTATGATACAACTTTAATAGATTTACATGATTTCTCAATGTATTTAGCTCTTGATATGACTACATATGAACTTGTTCAAGTTGATTATAAATAGAAGGGAATCTTATCATTAGCATAAGCTTTATAGGAAGGTAAAAAACAGGGTTCTTGGGAAGATTAATACTTTGATCAAAATTAACCTAATTCAGAATATTATGATTTTCTTAAAAAATGTATGTTATTGAGAGCAAGAGGAACCATTCATTCTTTTAGCCATAAATCAATATAAGAGTTTTTTGTAGCTAAATATATCTTTAATTTACTCAATAAAGTATTTGTTTAAGAATCTAATTGTATATTAATCAAAAATAGTAGATTCAACTAAGATTAATTTAATATTTCTCTAGACCATTTTCAAGGAGCAATAGAATTATTAAAGTCTAAATTAAAATAAATTTTGGATATTAAAAACAAGTTGATATTAATTATTTAATCTAGTGAAGATAATTTAGTACGAACATAATCTAATATAATGTACTTATTATGTTCTTTGAAAGAAAATTTAAATAATACTCATTTAAGCAATATATGTCTCTCCAATACTAAATTAAATGGTTTAAATTTTTTTGAATGCAACCTTAATAATACTAGATTTAATAAAGTTTCAATAGATTCTTGTAATTTTAATTGTGCCACAATTCAAAATGCAATTTGGGAAAATTTGATTTGTAAAGAGAAACCAACTTTAATTGGTCTTGATTAAATAACAAGCATATAATTCACAAAAGATGGATAGAACTTGATTTCAGGAAGCAAAGATGGAAATATCAGTATTTGGTAAGTTTCTGAAATAAAATAACTTAAAAGATTTCAATTATCAAATGATGCTCAAGTAATTTCTACCTCACTTTCTGAAGAAACAAGTCTTTTAGCATGTTTATCAAATCACTCCATTTAATTATTCAATAGTAAAGAACTTAAATTAGAAAATTATTAGCCTTTGATAAATTATGATTATAAAAAGGTTATGTTATCTTCTGATGGATAATATATTGCTGCACTAACATAAACTCTTAAAATTTATTTTTGGAAAATACAATCATTATAAAATTAATGCTAAACTTAGAATTAGATTTTTAAATTAAAATTTAAGATAAAATGCCTTGCAATTTCACAAAGCACAAAACTATTGGCTATAGGTGGGTCTTAAGTTATTATATTATCTATTAATAATTTATCAGAATAGTAATAAATTGCATCATTACCAAATACTGCTTAATCATTGGCTTTTTCATTGAATGAATAAATTCTGGCTGTGGCAGATGAGAATAATAATATTAATTTTTGGAATTTAATAAACAAAAATTAAATTGAAATACATTTTTCTATTTAATTATCATAAGTTGCAAAAAAACTTTAATACTCTTCAAATGGTTAATACTTTATTTTAAGAGATGATGACTCTATCATACTATTTTAAACTGCATAAATCATTTCAAAATTAGATTTAAAAAGGGAAACTATTTATAAAAATTATTCAAAAAAGCCTTGGTAGAAAGATTTTGATATTTCTAAAAATTCTTAGTTCTTAGCTATTGCTACTACATAAGGTATAATTATACACAATTTAGAATCAAATTAAATCATAACAACAATCGAATAAGAAGATGAATATAATTAAGTGCAATTTGCTTAAGATGATGAATTATTGATTTTTTCAGCAAGTTGGAATCGTCTTATTCAAGTCTACAATGTCAAAAACATTGATAATATGATAAAATTGTAAACAATCACATTACCCTTTAAAACACTTTAAGTCTGTTATTTATAGAATTCAAAATAACTACTTATTCGCAATACTCAATTTCTTACATTACATAGTTTATAAAATTGTGAATACTTTAAAATGATTTAGATATAGAAATCTGATAATTATTCTAATTTTATATTGATCAATTAAGATTATTTTGGTATAATTATGGATGATCAAATTTGTTTTAAATCCCTTAATGACACAGTAGATGTTGATTTTATTTTAAATTATGAAAAAAATGAGTTATTGCACAACAAATTTTGTTCAGACGGAATAACATTTTCAGTAATTTATAATCGAGATTGTTATACTAAATATAATATTTAGACTAGGAAGATTATTAAATAAGAAAAATTGCAGGTGAATAAAATAAAGTCTATTTTTGTGAATAATCAAGAAACATTATGTATAATAATATAGAAGTAGGAAAATGGAGTAAAATTGTTATTATTTGATCTTTAGTTAAATAAAGCTATTTAAAATTTTGAAGACAGTAAGAACACTAACCACTCTTGTATATTAGCATAATTTTTTCCTGATGGATTTATTTTTGTTACTGGATATTCAAATGGCTTAATTAAATTATGGGATACTAAAACATGCAAACTATTATCTATGTTTTAAAGCAACACTTCTTCTATAAATCTTATTTCAATTTCTAAATAAGGTATTCTTGCACAAGTAAATTAGAGAAAAATATAGTTATGGAACACAAAAGCTCTCTTATAATAACAATTTGAAATAGATGATCATTCTGATTCAATTTAATGTTTTGCAATTTCTCCTGATGGTTTATAATTAATTTCTAGTTCAAATTCAGAAATTATTCGTTATGATTTATAAGATTTAAAGTAAATTGATGTACTTTTAAGAGCATCAAATCTTCCATCAATAATACAATTTTCATAAGACTCTCGTTACTTCGCTGCTCTTGATTAGGATAATCAAATTAATATTTGGAAAATTAATACAAAATATATAATTGAAAGACGCTTTAAATTACTATTTTCTCCTTGTATTAATTTCACCTTCTAAAATAATTTAATAATATCTCAACATGTTTCCAAATTGTTTCTTACTTGGAATCTAGATTAAATATCTTAAAAATTAGTAAATTATAACAATAAATTAAAAAATTAACTTTTAGAAACTAATATCTTTTCTCCAAACTTAAAATTTTATGTATCTAATTCTCCTTTTCAAATAGTAAATATTGGATAAAATAAAAATTAGGAAAAGATTGAAAGTCCAAATTTAAATTTATAATCTAAGCTTGGTGTAATTTCGATCTCAAAAGATTCAACAAAAATCGCTTTTGAAGATTTAACAATCTAAATTATTATTTGGTCATTATTAACAAAATAATAAATAGCTATTTTGAAAGATGAGGAAACTTACGATTTTACAATATTATCTATGACATTTTCAGGAGATTCTAAATTATTATTTTCTATACATGCTGATGAATTTTATAGAATTTGGAATTTATGTGATAATTAAACAACTTTAATTTAAAAAACCTTATTAATGGAAAGTCTATAATGTTTCAGTTTGAGTGTAATTTAGGTACATTCTCACAAAATTGATGATTTTTTAATTTTATGGTCATAAAAACAAATTTAAGAAAGTGATGAATATGAATAATTATGTTTTTCTTACCATAAAGTAAAGGAACCAAAAATTCTTTAATCTAACTTACTTACAGAGTCAGATTCTTATGAAGGATATGAAGAGCGAAAGAATTTTTTAATTAATTTTAGTGTTGCTTATTCTGAAAATAAATAATTATTAGCTGTTTAAAGAATGACTTATTTGACAGTCTTTGACCTTGTTAAATAAGAAGAAATGTTTGTTTTTGAAGGCAATTCATTAAGAAAGTCAAATATTTCAACAATATTGTTGTTCATCAATGATGATTAAACTTTATTAGGTTTAGGAAGAGATCATATATTAAGATATTGGGACTTTAAAGGAAATATTAAGATAAATTTAAAATAAAAAGTACCTGCTAAAGCATTTCATTATAACAAAATTTCTTAATTTATAAAAGTTCTTGGATAAGATAATTTAGTTTATTAGTATTTAATTGAGGATTTTACAGAAATCTGCTAGTTTTCTAATATACAAAGTTTATCTTCCTAAGAATCAAATAATAATAAATCAACTAATATCTTTGATTACTAAATAGAAGATTAAGATAGCATTTGTATAAATATAATTGATAAAAGTACTAAAGAAGTCAAGTATTTTTTATTAAATTAATTTTCATCTGAAATTAATTGTCTAATTTTTTCTAGGGATCAAAAACATTTTATTCTAGGAATGAAGGATGGCTCTGTATGGATTTACACTAAAATAGACAAATTCACTGAACAAAAATATGGAAAATTAATATGTGTTAAAGTTTTTGGAAAAAGTCCATTATTATAAACAGATAGTTGCAATGTCAATAGTTCAAAATTTTTTACCCTTGATAATGAAAATTTAATAGGGCTCTTCATGTAAAAGGGTGCAATTTCATCTTATTGAAAATGTAATTATCCATATTATAATCAAAATATATTAATAATTATGTTTCTTTACTTAAATTTTTAATGATAAGTTTAACTTATGATAATTATTTATAAAGAATAATCGGATTATTAATTTTTCATCTTTACATCTAAATTGTAATCTTATTAATCACAATTTAACTATTTTTTATTTTTTGAAATTGCTATGAAAGAGTATCCTTATATACTTTTTAAAAAGATTTAACATATTTAGATTCTTATAATATAATCTTAATCTTTTATAATAAATATAGTGAATAAATAAAAAATTGCAAGGAACAAAATCTATTTTATATAACTTTTTTCTTATTCATAAAAATTATAATAAGAATTTAGTAATAGGTAAAATGTCTTTATGTTACTTTATGAGAATGATTAATTTATTGTTTGTAAATGATTCTAAAAATATTCAGAAATTATTATTTAATTAAATATTCAGTAATTATGCTCCTAGCAATATCTCGCTTGTTCCCAATTTTTATTATAGTATAATAGTATTAGAATAGAATAATGAATTATTTGTTTGGTTAATTCTTTTTATAACAAGTATTCATTTTATTTAAGATTAAAAAATTCTATGTAGATTTATTAGTTATCTAATTAGTTATCTACGATGTTTTAAGAATTTTACAAATTTTAGTTTAAATGTGGTTTAAAGATAGATTTTTTATTCTAATTATACTTTTGCTTGGCTTTACAGTATTTTATTATAATATAAATATAATAGTTATTTTCTTTGATAGCTACTTGCGATAGTTAATGAGAAAATAAGCTTAAAAATAATATTTATCTTGTAGATTTTTCATCAAATAGTACTTTAAATTTTTAAAGTCAATAGTGTTATTGAGTTAAGAAGAATATTATTTGAAATTAAAAATATATCTTGCGAGATAAAATTTTCAACTCAGCCAAATTATTTTAGACTCAAAAATTCATATTTTATTTTACATATTGCACATATAATATGGATTATACTTAGAATTAATACAGTCTAATTTTCTCCAAGTATTCATTTTAGGTAAGAATCCTATATGAGTCCAATAATTAGGAAAAAGTTGAAAAAATTTTAAATAATTCAAAAAAGATAGAAAAAACTCTTGTAGAGAAAACAAAAATAGTGGAGAATTCACTATTTATTAATCTTCTAAATTTTTAAGAGAGAAAAATTAAATTTCATTTATATAAAAATAATAATTGTGTTGTGTATGTATTATGTTAGATAATAGCAAGTAGATATTAGTGAAATATGAATTAAAATATTAAATGATACACATATAACTTCTTTTCAACATATTCTCCTTAATTTAAACTGATGGATAAATAAGGATATAATATAAACTCTTAGGTATATTAATCATTCACTCTTTCTCAATTTATTTGAAAAGAAAAATAACAATAGATATGCTTATTAAATTTTGATACATAACAAAAAAGTGTGTGTTTATTGATTTGATGATTCAAATATACATACAAAAAAAGTTTTATGGAGATTTACTTGAAATATCTTCGTAACAAAAATAAATGTATTATAAATAATATTAAGAATAATAATAATAACAAAACAGTATTTAATAATATAATTACCTCTTAATGTTAATTTTATTTAACTTTACACCTTTCCTTGAAAACTTCGGTTAAAGAGGGTTGTAATTTTAATAAAAAATAGAAAACTAAACTAAATCTAGATATATTATTATGGAAGAAAGAGCAGAAAATAAAAAATAATATATGAATATTTTTATTTTATTTAAATGTTTTGATTAAACATTTTTTTCATTTTTCCATCTCTCCTTATAAAGGTTTTAATTCTGCTAGCAATGATTTTACATGAACCGGTTATTCTTTTAATTGATTAATTTCTTTAAGAATTTGAAACTATTAAAAAACCTTTTAAAATGTTCCATATGTCCCTTGATGCCAAGAATCTGTAAACACTTATTCATATTCTAATTTTTCACATTCTTTCATAGATAAATAGGCGCATACAACTGCTAAATTTTATCGTAAATAATCTTAATAAGTTCCTAAATGATTCAAATAAGCAACTTTTTTTTAACTTACTATCTATTTTTTCATAAATTCATGAAATAGTTAATCAATTATATCGATTATTAATTAAGCTGTAACTGTTGGTTAAATACCTTTTTCAAGTAGACAAGTTTTGATATCACAGGTCAGACAAGCAGAAATTAATTCATCTCCAAAAAATGCCCCATAAGACAAACCTTCTTGAATTATTTGATCACTAATTTGTTAAATCAATAATTACAAAATTGTTAAAGATTACAGTATTTAGATATCCTCTAAAGTTACCGATAAGAGCTTCATAACTGGATTATGTGACAGAAATGTAGTATTCATAAGCTTTTAAGTAGCAGGTGCATCTTTACTTTAAAGCTATCTAAAAGTGTAAACCTTTTCTTTCTCCTATACCAAAAGAGAGAGTTAATTAATGTTAGATGATTGCAACATTGAAATAATTTAAATTATTTTCCTTGGCAAAACGAATTAATTTTTTATAAAAAGTATCAAAATTATATAATAAATAGATGAGCTAGTCTTTATTTTTGTAAATTTTAAGTTTATTTTTTAGTGTAAAAGAAAGGACCTCAACTAAAAAATTATCATCTCATTTCAGATTTGGGCCTAAACTTTTTAATAATTTTTAATTAATTTATATTAAAATCAAATTTTGATAAGAGAAATATAAGTTTTATTTTCTATAATAATAAAGTCATATTTTATTGAAATAAAAAAAATATTTCTTAATGGTAACATGATATTGCAAAATATATACATTGTTTATAAAATAAAAAAGAAAAATTTATAAATATTTAATTTAACTTTTTAGATGAATTAAAAAATTCTTCATCAAATTGATTCTTCATCTTTTAAAATTGGAATTTTGCATATGAACTAAGTTATTAGAATTTTGTATTAATTAGGTTCTTAATTTTTATTATAAAAGAATCTAAAAAATATTATAAAAATAACACATGTCTACTGATTTCAAAAATTTACTTTGGTTAAAACTGTTGAAAATTCTATTATGAATACTAGAAATTTATATGTTAAATTAATTAAGTTTATTTTACTTCTTTTTTATATTTCTAGCATATTTAAATTAGTTATAATCTGATATCAATATTCAATAATGAAACAAAATTAATGGATATCTTAAAACAAGGAAGTTTATTTAAAAAGAAAGCTAAAGAAAATAGCAAGATAATAAAGATGAGAGGGAATTCTCAAGATGCCAAAAGTGGTTTTAAATCTATAGGTTATTGATATGGATGAGAAGAAGAGTTGATATTCAGTTTTTAAATTTATTATACTATTCTTGAAGATGTCATTTTCATCTCTTTCACAACTTAGACTCTGACTATTTAATATTAATAAGTTTGTAACACAATAAAATTTTGGAAAAAATTAAGAATAGCAATTTGCTTAAAAATAATTACCATATCAGAATCATTAAAGGAAAATATTTAAAACAGAAAATAAGGAACCAAAAAAAATTTTTGAGTAGGATCAAGAACTTAAACTAAATTAAAATTAAAATCAAATTTCAAGCTTATAAAAATTTTAGTATAATTTTCTAAAAATAATTGTTCTAAGGATAATAAAATTTTATGTTGAAATTTATTAAATGAATTTTTTGATTATGCTGAAGTAGAAAAAAAAATAAAAATATTTAATGCTTAATTGGTAAATAGATTATAAGAATACAAAGATTGAAAATAACAATTAATAGCAAAACTTCAATAGACGAATTCAAGTTCCAACTAAAAAATTTATCCAATATAAGAGTAAATAGGCAACAATATTTCTTCAAAATAAAAAATAGTCTTCATTAAAGAAAAAATAGTTTAAGTATATATGTTGAAGCAGTCCAAAAAGAAATATAATTTAAACTTGATGAGAAATCGTACTAACATATTATAAAACCTAAATTCAATTTGAATTAAACAGAAACAAATAATTTTTTTGAATAATGAGTTTAATTGATAAAATTAAATTTATTTATCTTTTAATATCTGGAATAAGATATTACAAAAAATTTTTGAATTACATCACAAAAAATTTCGCAAGAATCATTGAAATTTAGATATAAAAAGAGAATTTTATAAGTAGCCAACAGTTGCGAATGTGTTGTTGAAATGATTTAATAATCATAATTTTTTTTTAAGTCATATTATAATTCTAAAATGGAAAAAGGGATTTTTTGGGCATTTATTTTAGTGATAATAAAGTTAATAATAACTTATTACTATCAAAAGATCAAGATAAAAAGTGTTGCTATTTACTTAAGATCACCTAATAATTGATGAAATCACTATAGAAAGTTATGATTGTAAAGATAAAAAAAAAAGAAATAAAAAATTTTTGCTAAAAAAGTTAAAAGATCAGTTTTATTTATTTGAATGAATATTTGCTCATTTCAGGTATTTTGAAGCTAGGAAATAATTTTTTTTATAAATTTCAATAAATAAAGTTGATGCATATTTGTATAATTATATTAATAAAAATTTTAAAATTAATATTATAATTATGAGCAAGCTTTATAGTAAAATCTTACAAGCTTATAAGAAACAGTTTAATATCCAGACAATTTATTTTGTTTTAAAATTTACCTCACAAATAGTCTGAATTAACCTAACTAATAATATTTATTAATAATAGTTTGTGAAAATAAAAATTAAAAATATTGTAGTGAATTGACAATATAGTTTATAAATGCATCTCAAGAGTCACAGTAAAGCTTTTTCTAATAAATTAAAAAAATAGATTGTGTGAAAAATGTGAAGATCATATAGCATATTCAATTTGTAAGAATTGTTAATTTAAGTGTCATCATAATTGTTAAATATATAATTTTGATTAATGTTTTTAATGTTTACACTTTAATTAATGATGACTGTGAATAAGTTTTGATAAATTGAAGGAACTGAAGTTTGGGACTCAATCATTTAAAAATATCAATTTTATTTTTTTAATTGTAATTATAATTATGGATAATGTACTTAAATAAGTTAGCCAAATGTAGATGATTCTAATTAAACTACTTCCAATTGCATTTCAGATTGTAATCTCTGCTATAATTAAAATGCATGCTTGGCTTGTCATGAGAACTTTCAAATAAATGTACATATATTTATGGCAATTGTACTAATTTAAATGTGTATCATTAATTTTACATTTTAGATATACAAACTAAACAATGATTCTAAATCAACTCTGAATAAAAAGATCAAAACATTCATTAATCAATTACAGAGATTCAATAATAGATTTCTTTATGGTATGGAGATTAATAATTTATACGTAAAGTAATGTGGAAATGGAATACTAAAATAAAAATATGAAGAATATTTTGAAGGGAACATTTTAGAGGTGATACGTTCTTCGTATTGAGGATTCATATCAATGTATAAATTACAAAGATTCATTAGGTTTATGAAGCTCCTGATTTAAATCTAGATATTGTTGTTAACTTTCACTTAACAAGTTTAATTTTAGAAAGAATTAGTTATTGAAGATATTTTTTTTCTACCCAAGTTCTCCTTAAAATCATTATCACTTAAAATTTGATGGCTTTGAAAATATAACAATTCACTTGAGATATCCTCTATATTAAATGTAAATTGCATTTTATTCTGCCAATCTAAGATCCTATTTCATAAGATAAGTTCATCATGCAATATGTATTTGATTAAGACTTCTAGACATATTAAAAGAAGATATTCTTGGAAATTATACTTCTGTCTAATAAATTAATGATGATGTAACCTATGGTAAGTATATCAAATTTGATTTTGCTATTTGGTAATGCAATTATGTGCTAGATTTATCATAGTCTTGATCCTATATAAAGTTATGCAATGCTAATTTTCACCCATTTAATTGATTTTTTAAACACTAATACTAAAGTTTCATTACAACCTATCATGAATTATTTTAAGTTAGAATAATTATTGTTCAAATTAAATGTAGATACTTTTTCAAATCAAATCTTTAATAAATCAAAAAAAAATTTTCAAAAAATGCTTGAAAATGAGTGTTATTTGGTTAATTCAAAAAGTTGTTATTTTTCTGTCTTTGCATCAATAATAATTTATTTACTTAATTCTCTTTTAATGGCTAAAAGTTTTTGAAGTTCTATTTTCAGATTATCTAATTGTGATATCAAAAATATTAAACTCATAAGATTGTTTTAAGTAAAATCCAGAAAATGTGTTTCTAATTAAAAATGAAATATTTTTATTTAGGAATCTTTAAAGTTTATTAAGCAATGAGATATAAGGTTTTATTCTCTGTATTATTGAAATTTCCTAATTATTACATTAAACAGCATTAATGCTTTAAAAGGGTTCCTATTCATCCTTATTGCTACTTTTCCATTATTTCCAATAGCATCTGCTCAAATAACAGATTTATCAAGATGAAAATATTTATTTAATGAATCTAAAATTTAATTTAGGTCTACTAAAAATCTATGTTATTATTTTGTGAATTTGATATATTTGGTTAAATTCGAACCCTTAAAATCTCCATTTGAACTGAATAAATAAAAAACATCAAGAAAACTAAGGGTGTAAATGAAGATGATACTAGTAAATTAATAATTGTAATAGGATATTATAATTGAATTAATGTGAGTCAATTTATAACATTGCTAAATTTTATTAATATTTTATTGATATAAAATTAGAATTTATAATTAAAAAATAATTTATTTTAAGAACAATAAATTGAATTAATGTAACATTAATGATTAAATTAAAATATCATCATTTCATATATATTTATCATCAAGTTAGGTTTAATTCAGATTTAAATAGGTTATGCATTGATCTTAATATATTTCACAAGTTTCAGATGGAATATCAAATTACAAGTAATTAACTCCAACTTCATAATACCCTAATTTATAAACACACCTTTTTGATGAATTAATTAATTACTTAATTATAGTGAGTAATTATATTTTACTCGACAATCATGTGTCTTTAAAAATGCATTTAAAAACTTCATTGATTTCATGATTAAAATCTAAGCATAATGAATATCATTTATTGAATAAGTTGAACAAGGATTTTGCAGTATTGAAAATTTATTATCTAAAATATCCAGAAGTCCATTAACATGGTCCATTTGATACTTTATGTAATGGATTTTTGCACTGAGCCCAGTGAGTTGTATTTAATTAAAATTATAAACAGGGACTTATAAATGCTATACAGTTTACTGAAATCATAGTTTAGCCAGTATTGTATTAAAATTAAATGATGTTACATATTAAACAATGACTGCCTGTTCTGGAGCATGTATAGATGGTTCAATAGGGGCTATATAATGATTGGATTGACAATAAATAGTTGGCAATTGATTGGGATATTAGATATTAAGAATATAAAAGTAATAATTATAACTTAGTCAATTATATGTAGTTTTTTATACTTCATAAGTTTTATTAGGATGTATACATTAATTAGGAATAGAAGTATTCATCAAAAACGTTGATGCACAATCAGTAAAATAATCACCATTTTTGTATATTTAAGATATAGATAAAATTTAATATTTTGATCCAAATAATGATGGATTCACAAAATATCCATTGCTACCTAGAGATTTAACTTGGAAGAGCACATAAAATGCATTTTATGGCAAGATCAACACAATTATAAAATGGCAACTAACATTTAATGCAATTATGATCAAATAGAAAATAGTGTTATTTGCAAGAAGCACATTATAATTCAGAAATACAATACCATTATTCCAATAATTATATTAGCATTAAAAACATATTGATGTTGAACCACAGATTTTACTATTATTTGGACAATTTTCACAATTATTTGAAGTGTTCATGATATACCCTTCTTTGCATGAATAGAGAGCTACTTAATTTGTTATATCTATACATGTAGAACAACCTCCTAAAAAATTGCACTTGGTCGAAGATATCAAATACATGTATTGTAATCTTCTGTTTAATATCCTGGTTAGCAATTAGACCTAGAATTATTCTACATAAATCCAGTTTTGCAAATATCGCAAGTTCCACTTCCACATATTGCATATTTAACATTGGCTTTAGACAAAGTTTTCATTATTAATTATTCCTAAAAACAACAAAAACTAAATCGATTTCGTTATCATTCTAACTTCTTTTTGATAATTTGAGGATAGATTTTAGTTTAATAATATATTTAGATATCATGCAAAATCATTTTATAAAACCAAAAGAAATTAGTAATAATTTAATGATATTTAACTCATTCTCTAAAATATATAAAGCAATATACAATGATATCATTCAATAGATCAATAATCTTTGTTCGACTATATTATTCTAAAAATATTAGTTTGAAGACTTATGTTAATATTCTAGAATCTTCTATATTACAATTAAGCTCTCTATAATAATCAATACTTAGAAAATATGATCAAACCATATTGAAAAACCATAGTTACAACTAATGATTGATATGGTTGCATAGATGATCATGAGTAGAAAAAATATTATGATAATAATTATTTGATTAATTTGAAAAGTGAAAAGTGAGAACAAAAATTTATAATCATTTGTGATGTTTGTACAATGGGAATGGGGAGTTCATAACATAATTAAAAGCGTGGGAAAAAGTATTTAAAAAACAAACAAAAATTGAGGAATAAATTCTTTCATATTTTATAACATAATTAACTCAAGAAAAATTATCAGAAAAAAATTAGAAAAATTCAGAAATTTCATTAAATTTTTTTGAAGACTTCCGGTTCTTCTTTTCAGTATGTTAAATTAATCACTTTTTCTTTTTAAGTAGTTATTTCAGAATCCTTCCTATTTTTGGCAAATTTCATTATAAAAGTTAAAGAAGAAGATTCAAAATTATCTAATTTTTCTGAATCAGGTAATTTGATAGTGGTTATATGAGATAGAGATAAAATTCAGATTTAGTAATAAAAGAATTAACATTTTAAATTAAAAGTGTATAAAAATAAATTGGTTGTGCAGATAGAACAGGAGCTGAGAATTTTCAATCTTACAAGCAATTATTTAGAAAGAATGAGATTGAAGACTAGAAAAGATCCCAAATAGAACATGAGTGAAATTAATAAGAAATTATTAGGATTATAATAATTAAGAGTAGTATTTGTATTATTTACATAAACTCCATCCTTATTTAATGGAAGTCATAGTTCAAATTTAGAACCGTTTGATTTATTTGTTTAGGTAGAATTTTATTGTATAAAAATAAGTACATTGTTTTAGATGAATCAACTGCCAATCTTAATATGAAAACAGATGATTTTATTTAAAATATGCTTAAACAATAGCTTAAGGATTGTACAAATATAACTGTTGGACATAAATTAAATACAATTGTTGATTATGATAAAATTTTGTATATTGAAAATGGAAATGTTTTAGAATTTGATGAACCATCTAATCTCTTAGCATAATTTCTAAATTCTATTAATATTGATAAACAACTTACTTTTCCAAATTTGTATTGAATACTTGAATATCTAATTTTGATATTTCCTAAAATAAATAGACTAGAACAATATCCTTGATCTTTTTTATTTTTATATTTAATATGTTATAAAATAATTATTATTAAGATGATCTTAAAACTTCAATAAATGCACATAAGAGAATGTTAAATTTATGTTTGTTGAACAGCCTTAAATATAATGTTATCCAAATATTATTGTTTTGTTGTTTTTTTTTGGAAATCAATCAAAATTTTTTAACATTGATCTATTATTTAATCTAAATATTTTCCATTCAAAGATTGCAATCAAGTTCTTTTATGAAATAAATTCTAAATTTACCTAAAATTGATAATTCTTTTTCAAAAACTATTCATAATTTAGCTTTGCACAATGCCTTGTATCTTAGAGTTAACTATTAAAAGCAACTAATTTCTAATTTAACTCTTATATTTATTACGGAAAAATTAAATTGTATTTAATTCTTTATATCAAATAATTAATTTTTTCATTTATAGGATGAACGTAATTGTTTTTTACTTATTATTTTTAATTTATCTTTTAAGATTTTTTTGCATCTTTTCTGTTTGATTTAAGATTTTTTTAAAGAAGTGTATATAAATCAAAATTTGTATTTTTAACATAGATGATTTCACTTTCAACAAAGAGTAGACATTAATTTATATACGTTATTTTCTTAATGACACTTACAATTTTAATTTTTAAAATACTCCATTTAATAAAGCAAATTAATTTTAGTCAAAATATTTTCAATATAAAATCATCTTGATAATTTCGTTAAAAAAATAAAGAACCAAAAATTTTTTTAGGATTCTTTTATGCATAAAATGCAAAAGCATTAACTCTCTTAGTAGGCATATAAAAATAATATAAAATATATAATATTTAAATATTAGAGCATTTCAAAAAAGCTCTGCACTTAACAAATTGAATGAAATTGAAATGTCATTATCGTTGGTTCATAAATTTTAAGCAAGTAACAGAGTTTAGAAGAAGTAGAACCAGAAATCAAGCAGCGCGATATTAATTAATATATAGCTATCTAATAATACCCTAACCAATTTAGTTTGATTATGTATTCAGTATAAAAATTTAACTTAGTGTTACTGGAAAACTAATTTTTTGAATTTATATTCTAAGATGATATCAAGCTCAGCAAGCAGAAGTTAACCTTTTATAATTTTCATAAGTATTTTTAGTATTTTAGTTAGAAAGATAACAATTAAATTTTGATTCTTTTAAATCTGCATGTACGCTGTAGTAATAGTATATTAATCTTTAGGAAATATTTCCTCTTAACATATGATTATTGATACAAATCGGCATTGTTTATGAATACATACAGAATATAAATATCCTAAATCAATTAGTTTTTATCTCAATATTCTAATATTAATGAGTAAATTTTAAGCACTTTCTTGACTTTTAGAAATCTGAAAATTTCTATTTCAATAATCATTTTACATGCTTGCTTTTTAGTTTTGCTTTCACAATTAAATATTAGCAATAATAAATTGAAATCAAAAGTATCCTATAACTTTCATCGTAATTTAATTGTAATTAATTTCTTATATGAAACATCTGAAAAGGTATCTTCTCTACAAGAAACTATCTTTAAACTAATAAGTTCAAAAGCAGGTGATGTTCTTTTGAAAGACTAAAATTTTAGAAATGAAAATTTATTCTTAAATTTTCCTCTTAACTAAGTTTAGAGGATTTTATTTGCTGAATTTCACTACTAATTTGGAGTGGATTAGAAATATAAAGTTCCAGTTAATCTTTTTAAAAGAATGTTTATCAATAAATTGATTGAATATAAATTTGGACCAAAAATCGTCAGAGCTAACAAAATAGAAAATGTATGATGTTGAAAAAAATGTGGTTAGACATGTCGAAATCAATCAACGCCATTTTAGTTTGGATTGAATAGGAAAACTAATCATACATTAATCTCATCAATAAAAACACAAATCTCGCAGAAATCTCATATACAGATTTAGAAAAAATGATTTCAATTATAGGAATGATGAAAAGAATTAATATGATGGAGTTGGATAAGAGAAAGAAGTTTCAAAGATTTTAGAGGAAGATGAATATTTTGAGAAATATTTTAGATAGTCCGTTTTTAAAGAAAAACGATTTTAGTACAATAGTTTATGAAAACGAAAGACTCAAACACATTAAGAAGATATTAGGATTAAATAGATGAATGATTTTCTTATGTTCTTAGTACAACTAATTTATTTTGATAAACAATTTATATAGAGTGAATCGAATGCATTAAAAATAATAAATTAGATGAAAGTTGATCAGAAACATCAAAATTTTGAGATATCAGAATAAAGAAAACAAGGTTGATTAGTGCTAATTTAGATTGGTGAAGCTGTAAGAGATCGGAATTTGAGAATGTAAATATTAATGGTATGAATATTTATGTAATGCTAGTAAATGCTATCAAAATTCAAGAATTAAAGTATTTTAACATGGCTAACCAATCTTCTAAATTTGATTGTCACCAGATGAAAACTACTTTAGTGATTATTCTTTAAAAATAAATTGTTTTGTTTAAAGTTTGTTTATCAAAAATTTATAAATATATTTAAATAATATATAAAATTTAATTCTCTTTTTATTTAGTTTCTTTTTCCATTTCGATTCTTATATTTTATATTATTATTTATTTATAAATATTTACAATTTCAATTTAACATGGTAT